CACAGACAACTACAATGATCTAATACATATCAATTTTACAGAAGACATTGTTGAAAAAGCACTGCACAATCTAAAACCATCTCTATCTATTGGACTGGACGGAATATGTGCCTACTTCTTAAAAAAGCTATCCACTGCTATAGCTGAACACCTAAGCATAATCTTTGAAAAATCTTTCAGGACCAGCTCCTTGCCAAAAATATGGTCACAAGCCACGGTCATCCCCATCTTCAAAAAGGGGAGACCCCAGCCTAGTTGAAAATTACAGACCAATCTCCTTATGCTGCGTCACCTGTAAAGTCATGGAATCAATTATTACCCAATCCATTATCCTCCACTTAGAGACAAACAACCTACTCTCTAATAAACAATTTGGTTTCAGAAAAAATCTATCCTGTAATCTGCAAGTCTTACACTGCAAAAACATATGGACTACACAACTCGATTATGGCAAAGCAACAGATGCAATCCACATAGATTTCTGTAAAGCCTTTGATTCAGTGGTACACAACAAACTACTACTAAAACTAAAATCTTATGGTATCTCTGGACACCTACATAACTGGATAGAAACATTCCTGTCAAACAAATGGACAACAAATGGTCAAAATTGGGAGCATCCTATCAAATTCTGTACCTGTCAACAGTGGTGTCCCCCAAGGCAATGTTTTAGGACCAACTCTCTTCATATTCTACATAAATGACCTCTGTGATCATATTAAGAGCAACTGTGTTCTCTTCACTGATGATGTAAAGCTATTCAACATCACAGATAATACTACTACCCTCCAAAAAGACCTTGACTATGTATCAGAATGGTCAATCAAATGGCAATTTCAAATCTCAACAAATAAATGCTCTGTCTTACATATTGGCAGAAAAAAACAGAAAATAAAATACAAGCTAAATAGTCAAGACCTTGTTGAGGATCCAAACTTTATCAAGGACCTTGGATTACTCATCTCAAATGATCTAAGTGCTAGAGCCCACTGTATACTACATAGCCAAAAAGGCCTTAAGAGTTGTTAATCTAATCCTACATGGTTTCTTCTCTGATAATATCACACTACTAACTAGAGCATACAAAACATTTGCTAGACCTATAGTTGAATACAGTTCATCAGTCTGGAACCCATATTATGTATGATATTAACACAATTGAAAAAGTCCAGAAATTTTTCGCAAGAAGAGTCCTCCACTCCTCTACTCATTGCAGAATACCTTATGCCATCAGACTGGAAACTCTAGACCTAGAAAATCTAGAACTATGCTGCGTCCGGTCCGTTCTAAATATAGTATATAAAATCATACTTTGCAATGTCCTACCTGCAAATGAACACTTCAGCTTCAATCATAACAATACAAGAGCACACAAATAGATACAAACTCAAGGTTAACCACATCAAACTTGACTGCAGAATATACGACTTCAGCAACAGAGTGGTCAATGTTTGGAATATTCTCCCTGACTCTGGTTTCTTCCCCCAACCCCGAAAACTTTAACCTTAGACTGTCTACTATTGACCTCACCCCCTTCCTAAGAGGCCTGCAGGGAGCGTGCATAAGTGCACCAATCGTGCCTACCGTCCCTGTCCTATTGTTTTTTATTTTTCTTATATGTATCTATCTCATGTATTCAAAACTATATTCATTCTTACACCTGTATCTTGTAAGAGATTGACAATTCAAATAAATACTAAAATACACACACACACACAAAATCATTTTTATCCCCCTTCTTACACTCCCTGAGCATTTTTCAATACATCAAGATGAAGTTTTTCTTGTGGAATCCACATGGCTGTTATCAACCTTGAACAATTACCTATTATTATTATTGTATTATAAATATTAGTATTATATACCACTTTCCTGAGCAGATTCAAAGCAGAATAAATGGCAGATTTTCCTTATTTTTATTTATAACAAAATATGATGAGATTGAAAGGGAAAAATTACCCCCTGTCATCCAGTGTGGTCTATATTTGAGAGAGAAGTTGAACTTGGTCCTAGGCCAAAATCTTAACCACTGCACCACTCTGGCTCTGGCTTCAATCTTGGGGATTACAGATAGTCCTTGACTTATGGGGCCAGAATTTCCATTGCAAAATGGTCAGTGAGTTGTGCCCAATTTTAAAGTGAATCATTGCAGTTGTGAAGTGAATCATGTAGTCATTGAGCAGATTCCATTTCTCCCTTTGTCTCTGCTTGTTGGAAGCTGGTAGGGAAGGTCACAAAAGCCAATCACGTGACATTGGGACACTGCAACTACTGTAAATATATGCTGGATGCCAAGTGCCTGAATTTTGATTACATGACCATGGGGATACTACGATGGTTGTAGGTGTGAGGACCATTTGTAAGTCACTTTTTCAGTGCTTTTATAGCTTTGAATGATCACTAAACTTATAACTATAGGTTAAGGATTACCTATATTAGGCTGCTTGCACAGAGCTGAATTAAAAAAAATAGATACTTGCTTTTTCATTTCTCTTTCAGTATATGCTGTTATCATCAGCAACAGAAGATTGTGTCCAGATTGTTAGCGTATGGCATGGATGCAACATGAATGCAATGTAATTTATACATTTCTTTATTTCAGTAAAAAACATCAGAAGGGGTTATATCATTACATGAATCTGTGCAAAACTGAAATCAATTCTAAACTGTAATGTTATCCCTTAGGAAATGTTAGGATGAAATAATTGGTTTTTTTTTAATGCTGCCTCCCTTTTTGCAAGAGGTTTCACAATAAAGGTGTCATCTTTAATTCAATCTTGAAAAAGACTGAGCGTTCACAGAGACAATGCACTGAACCATTATTGCTCTTACCTTAAAATCTGGAGGCACTCCTCCCACATAGAAAACAGTATTTTTAGCATCCAGATCCAAAAGAGAAGCATCACCTGGAGCCTCTCCTTTATTGATAAACTTTTCCTCAGCTGTGCTGGTAAGGCTTGGGATTGTCAAAAACACTTTGCCATGCTTGCCAATCCTATTGAAGAACAAAAGTCAAAAATGGAGCTCTTGCAATTGCTTGATTGAATGGTTAACAATTTCTGCATCTGTGTTTTTCAAGAGACAGTCAACAAGGGACAATGCTTTGCCTGACATTATTAGTATTCTCAATGATGAACTCTCTCTATGATTTTGATAGATCAAATCTTGAGATTATTTGGGATACAGTTTGAAATACTTTGAAGGAAAAAAAATGGAAGAATGCTTCCATTGCTCATGTTATTTATCTATTTACCTATCTATTTATTTATTTACCTTTTAGAACTTTTTAGCATATATAGTGATCATTTAAAAACCGGTAGGGTTTTTAAAGAAAAATATTATTTTTCCTTCCTTTTGTTGAGGCAATCAACAGGGATAATTAAGCAGCAATGATAATTCAGCAGTGAATACAAATTACAATAATTAGGGATAGCTATTTTGCCAGGTTGTTGATAAGTACAATTAACACTATTAGCAGTCTCCTCAAGTGTCTACATTGCCTTGAGGTTTTCTAATGCAATCATATATGGAATACATCACAAAAGTAGCAGTTGTAAACACATTACCTCTCTATTTTAATCAGATTGAAATGTGTAGGCCAAGAGCTGATTGGCTTAGAATCTAGAGGTATATTCACATCACCAGCACCCAAATTATAAACGTAGACCAGGTTCCCATTCTTAATTGCAAGACCCACATAATTTTTTGTCTAGAGAAAAAAATGAACAAAACATGCTTGTGAAGGTTTCAAGAGAAATAAAAAGCTAATTAGCTTAGCATAGTTCTGCCTCGAGTTGGAAAACTTAGAGAATACAAGGTCACCTTGGTTTCTAGCTTTGTAATGTTCTGAGAAATGGTTAACACAGCACCTTGAAAAATATGATCTAGTATAGAGAAAGGGGAGCTGAACTCAGAAAAGCCTTGACAAAAATATATTGATCTAATCAAGTTACATATGTCACTGTCAGAGAAATGTATTGTCAAAGTAAGCTTTTAGTAGTCAGGAACTGCACTTATTTTTTCATTTGGGGTACAGGATCAAAAGGAGGGAAAAGGATAAAAAGAGCAGGAAAGGAATAAAAAGATGAACCCAGTATTTTTCCCTATGGATTTGTGGAAAATATGCCTTTTCTTTTACTTCTAAACTATATTAAAATCTATGTTAGAGTACCTACAACCATTTTCATACATTTCCAAGAGTTGTTATTAAAGGGACCCTGAGAGGGTCACATAAATACTGTTCTGGAGCAGGAGTCTCCAACCTTGGCAACTTTAAGACTTGTGGACTTCAACGACCAGCCCACCCACCAACTCTGGGAGTTGAAGTCCACAAGTCTTAAAGTTGCCATGGTTGAAGACCCCTGTTCTGGAGCTCATGTGATTCTAAGGCTTCAAAGTGGAGTCCTTAGTGCTCTTTGAGCTTGGTATTTTTTGCAAACATTTCATTAGATAACACTTTCACTGCTAGAAAGAGTGAGGTTTGTTTTCTTTAAAAGCTTGGCCCAGGAGTGGGATTCTACTGGTTTGGACCAGTTTGAGTGAACCGGATATTAAATTTGCATCTGGTTCATTGAACTGGTATTTGAAATGATTGGCTGGTCCTTCCCGCCCCTCCCCTCCCAGGGTTAGGGTTAGGGTTAGTCTCCACACATCTTATTTTCGATGCAGGTAAGTGCAGGGTCCTCATGGAGGCTCTGGGAGGAGGAAAAATGGGCCTTCTGGAGGTCCAGAAATAGGCCTGTTTCTGGCTTCTGGATGGGGAGGCCATTTTCGCCCTCCTGAGGGAAGCCTCTGGATCCTTGGGAAGGTGAAAATGGCCCTCCCGGAAGTTCCAATAGGCCACGCCCACCATGGCCATGCCCAGCCCAGCAACTGGGCAGCAAACTGATTGCTGGGATTTTTGAATCCCACCACTGGCTTGGCATGTTAATGTTGGTGGGCATATGGGTTTCTCCTTGATAGTTCCTTGATTAGATTGTTGATTATCGGGTTTTTTAAAATCTGAGTTGGTATTTTGATTAAGTTGTTAACTTTGATTAAGTTATTCTTTACTGCTCAATTGTTATTTGGTGTGCCAGAACACCTGGTTAGTCTTTTGGGAAACCTTTACAATACACAAGAAACTATTAAGAACTCAATTTGGAGAAATATTATAGTTTAGAACATGTAATGAGAAAAGGATGAATATTTTCCAAAATCTATTTAATTTATATTTGTTAATACAACAAATATAGTGTCCAAATGATTGAAGAGTTGAGAGCTGGAATCAAAATGGAAGATTACCATATTACATACTGCAAATGACTTAAGGAATAAAGACTACTTGGTCATCTCAAAATAAAGATGATTTGTACGATCATTACTGACAATAAAAACAAAGATAGTGGTTGTAGCATGGCAATTGAAACTTCCTCTTGAAATGCCCCTTTTCTTTCATTTTCTCTTACCCTTTGTATCTCATACCCTCCTTTCCCGGTTCCCTTTCCTTCCCTTAATTTCCTATTTTTAATTCTCTTCTTTGTATTTTGTATAATAAAAATAAAACATTGAACAAAAAGAAACCTTCTCTCTGATTTGCATGCAACAAATTGATTTGATACTTGAATTTGATGCCAGAACTGCCATTTTTTTGTTTGACATGGGCCCTGTGAATACTACTGCAAAAATATATGAAAATGATTATAATGCTGGAGAATAAAAATATTCATTTTAGAGAGGAAGATAATGACAAAGAAAACCATAAAGTGTAAGTCTATTTGTATAAAAATAAAGGTGAAAGAGTGAACCCCACCCCCCCAAAGTAATATATGACCTGGACACTAAGAAAAAGGAGGTGGACTGACTTCTTTTGATTATGGAACTGGAAGCTACTTGACCAAAGAGACCAATATAGATGATGAACAAGCAATAACTAGCATAGTTTGCCCATTAAATATAAGCAGATGGTAGACTAAAAATGACTACTGTATAAACTTGTGGATAAGCCAAAAATTTTAGGTCCTAAAATATACCCCAAAAGTTGGGTTTGGTTTATCTGTGAGATGGGTTTATATGCAAGCATACATAAGCCCATCTGCAAATAAGTCAGCCCTCAAATTTTTAACCACATTACCCATGGACAAATCAAGTTGGAAATTAAAACAAAGGAACAGTTTTCAGGGTAAGCTTACCTGTGGATGGTATATTGTTCATAGTATTTTGTTAAAAAATCAAGGGTTTACTTATCCATGGACCGAGTTATCTACAAAAATGTTTGGCAAGACTGAGGGAAGTAGAAGAAGTAGATGAAAACAGATAAGATGGATGGACAGGATTAAAAAGCCAGAGATTATTGTTGGGAACAGGCCAGTGGACATTTTTCAGTAAAATTTGGAGGGATGGGTCTGACTCATTGGCACCTTTTTTTAATTTTGATGAAAAAAAAATCCTCAGTGTAATATACATGAAATCACCATACATCTAGCAGGTTAACATACATTTTTGCTTCCTAAATACAGAACGAATTGATCTTGAGGCTTTTTTCTCTGTGGGTTTTCTCCAGAAAATTTCATGTACAAACTTAAAGATGTGAAAGCCTTTAAGTCTTCTACATTCACTTGAGGATTGACTTCAACTGCTGAACGACCTTCAAATGTCATTGACACTTGAACCTGTAAGGTGAAATATGTAAGTGAAAGATTAGACACATCTTGGAAGACTCCTTTTGGGAAGAAATGAGAAACTATAATACATTTATTTTAATGCACTATTTAATTAGCAGAATGTTAACATTATTTGTAAAGATTAATAAATTATGAATTGTTTTAAAATATAATATACAATTGATGAGGTAGATTCAGGGTTGCCCAGAATAGTATTCTATAGATCCAATTGCCCTGTGAATAAAATAGGGCCTTATTTTCTATACATATTGAGAAAACAGATTCATTATGAAAAATGGTAATAAAATTGAAGCTATTCTCATGAATAAAATATCCATTTATTTACTGGTATTCATTATATTTATAGCAAGCAAAATCCTTTTGTGATTCTCTGGAACTTCATATAGGATGTTTAGATCCTTATATCAACAAATAAATAAGTACTAAAGTAAAATATAAATTTCCATGTGCAGATTTGAAATGATTTTAATTAAAAAAATCAAATACAAAAGATTGATTTGTACACTATTTGTGTTGAACTTCAGGTCTTCTAGAACAGTAGTATGTCAGCCATTCTATCACTTAGACTAGAATAGTAACTTCATAGTCAACCTTTTGCTAATGCCCATTGGCAATAAATGATTTAACATCAAAGCTGAAACTAAAGTTATTCAGGGAAAGCATTAGGCTGATTGCTATAAGTACTGTATCAAAGTCTCTGACTCAGTTTTCAGAAGGGCCATACTGCAATACCTCTCTCTCTCTAGGAAACTCTAGTGATGCTGGAAAAGTCTCTATGGAAACTCAAGATCTTGGCGTGACTACACAACTTCACAACCTGCACATCCCCAGGTTTAAACCCTGCATTTCTTTCTCTCTCTCTTCTCAAGTAATGGATTGCTTGCAGCCCATTTCTCTTGCTGGGCTGCTAATGACAACTTGTATTTGTCTAACTTCCTCCCAAGATCCTTGTTTCTACTCTTGCTGACTCCAACCCTCCCAATTTCACTTGCAGCATCTTTACCTTGTTTGCCACACTCCTGGTCTGTGCAATGAGTTCTCGGACCCTCTGGATGCTGGCTGACACATTGTTTGGTGCTCTTTTCTCTTCTACTATACGCAGCTTATCTAGGAGCTGTGGGACAAGTTCTGTGAGACTCCTCACTGTTGTACAAAACAAAACAAGACAGTTGCTTGGGTTTCTGCATTACAGGCTAAAAGGTTATGTTGATTCATAACAATGGCACAGTGGTTAATTAGCAAATAACACCTAGAAGCCAAAGGCTTGCATCTAAGAAGATCAGTGTGGACCAATCTCTTTATCTTTTACGATAGTACATTTTTAGAAAGATACGAGTTAGTGGATTATTTAAATAAATTGGGTAAAAAAAGCTCCTATGGTAGAGCATGGAAGCTTTGTTTTCAAACATCTTACAATTCTAGCTTATTAAATGTTGTTTGCTTTAAGAACATCCCTTTTTAAATGTCAAGATCCCCAGTGAAAAATAAATAGCTCTTGACTTTCCTGGAAATTAGCCAACCATGCACAGCCCACCCACTGAATTGTTTAAAGGATGCATACACTACCCAAGCAATGGAGGAATCTGCTGGCACAGATACATATATATACATATGTTTTTTCTACTTTCTGTACAGCCATACTAAACTAACTACTTTAACCACAATCCATGGTATATCTTAGAAATCCAGTTCAAATATTATCACTTTTCCCATTATAATTGAGGGTGTACAGAATAATGTTAGTTACTTGTGGAATAGCTAAATTAACCTCAGTCAAAGTTTTATCAAATGCCATCTCTTTTTTAAAATATAAAATTCAAACAGTTAAGGGAATCTCACTTTGGTCAAGGATAAAACACTAACTACTTTTATAAAAAGCTGTCAACCTTTTGTGGATATTTTGCAGAAAAATGGGAAAAAGGTGAAATGTCGATTAATCAATTTGATGATTGAAAGGGGTCTGAATGGACTATTGTAATGTTAAAGAGGGAGGAGGGATATTGAGTGATTTATGAGATATATTTATTTTTATTATATATGGGATAAACATAGGGGATCTCAGCTCAAACCATTATAATTGTTGGAATTCATTGTTGGAATGAATTTCTAGTAACAACTACAGTAGTATTCAGCCAATAGATGGCAACTTTACAAGTTTGGATATATCATATATACTCTATGCTCTTTTGTTCTAAGTACACTTTCCTGTTTCCTGTTATAGTTATATAGTTGAGCAGTAAAGCACATGGTGACTGTACTCTTTGTTTGCTCTGTGGTACTTTATATAAAACAGAATTTGTAACAATAAGGATTGGGACACACTAACTCAGAGGCTGAACCTGATCTGTCAAGCCAGAGCATCCATACAGCGTGGTCTTGAGCAAAACCAACCACAGTCCCTGACCAATAATTGCTGATGAATTGGGCTAATGGTTTGACATAAGATCTATGTTTACTCTGACTACAATACCATGTTCCCCTCTTTCTTTGACAATTACTCTTGCAATTCAATTTTACACAATCCAAAATCAGTATCCTTGAAACAGAAAATGGATGCTGTACATTTCAAGGAACATTTCATTTACACATCCCTTCATATTACCTGTATCCCTAGTTGTGACTGTGGCACGTTCATAAGCTGCTCTTTCAGGTTTAAAGTTGCGCAGATCTTTTGACCATTTTGTCACATTCTCAGACATTGGATCTGTGGTGGAGGTTATGGTTGCAGCTGTTTCTTTAGCTTGAGTAGCAATAGCTTGCAATTGCTCAAACTGCTTCATGTGATCTATAAACATAAAGTTCTATGATGAGGAAATAATGATCATGTCTTTTTTAATATAAAACCATGTAACTTCCATTAATTAGTGCTCTTCCTCATTAAATAAACACAGATTTGTAATCTAAATATGTAAATAATTTATTTACAGTGAATTGTAGGAAACTGATTTACCATAATATCGATTTTTTGAAGAATTGATATGTGTCACTGGATGCAGGCACGAGTGATAGTAAATCTATAGCAGGCACAAATGATAGTAAATCTATTTATTGTATACTTTGATAGAACTCTTTCAATTAGTCTTTAAATGTAATAAGTAGCCATTAATCCTAGGTGAGTACTTTAGTAGTATATAGCAAGAACATTCTAGATCAGGGGTATCAAACTGGTAGCCCATAGGCCAGATGGGTCATACCATAGGCCACACCGATCCCAGTTCTGTGAAGGGAAAAATTGTCGCAACAGATCACGTGATGGTAATGTGATGCCGCAAGTTTGACACCCATGTTCTAGATGGATATACAGTATATATTAGGGTAGTATGCTCTTCAAACTGGCTGGAAGCATCTCCTGTGACAGGCGCCTTGGAAACAATAGCCCATGTCTGTATTGTATTGTCAGTTCTACAGGGCCATTTGCCCCAGTTGATTATTCTTTTTTGTCTAAATTTCTCGGGCACTGATAATTTTTATTTGCACTACTTGTTAGACAATCAGGCTACATCTATCTCTCCAAAGTTAGCAAAATTCTGCTATATTATGTAAAGCTTTGCTGACAAATGATTGCCGACTGTCATTTATGTTAAGGGTCAACTTTGCTTTAGTGAATGTATTTTTATTTGTCAATGACTGAAATAAAGTTTCTGTCTGTCTGTATAATTAGGAACTTAAATGAACACAACCTCTCTTTCATTCAAGTGGCCCATGTTTTTTCTTCTGGTTTCCACAACTCCCTGTAAAAAAATGATGTCACTATTTTAAGAAATCAATTAATTATAGCTCATGTAATTTTTAAAGCAATGATGTCTTTTATTTTCAGGCTTCTGTGGAAAGCTGAAATAAATTGAGGTGCTTTATTTAATGAATAATAGAGAGGTGCTATTAGCACATACATGTGAAATCTGAAGGACTTCTTTCACACCACCTTTTAAGCACAACCAAAAGTCAATTCAACAGTCAATGAGTACCAGCCAGGTAAGATTAGATTTACTTTCTACCTCAAAACCACTTAAGAAGTTCCCTTGTGAAGATTTATTCTTTAATCAGAATAATTTGATGACAATTTTGTACAATTTATTTCCTGACCTTGCTCTGATGTGTGCATTTTTTTAAGGACTTTCATGAAACGGCCTTTAACATCATTCTTCTTGTCAAGTGTTTCATTAATCTCTCTGCCTGTTTCTTCAACATTAAAGACATCTGCAAAGTGGAAGAAACAAAATATAAGAAAGCTTTCGGCAATGAGTGGCAAAGGCATTTATCTAATTATAGTAATAATGCATCTGAAAGACATCAGTCTAAAGGATTCTAATCACTGCATTATAACATTGGGACTTATTTGAAGGTCTATACTAAGTTTTAGATAATACATTTTTTTTTGTGACCTCCAAAGCAGGTCTTGGCTGTTCGTTAAACAATCTACAATGTTTTTCAAAATTTTGTTTTGAAAAGGACAGTATAGTTTGCATGCTTTTAAAGTAAACATCAGAAATATGAAAGCATTTGATTGTGCTTCCAGCAAGCCCCATTGTTTGCTACTGCTGCAGAAGTACTATAGATGTACTATAAATCTTTCATCTGGCCCGATGGTAGTTTATATTTCTTAGCGTTATTTATAGAGAATAAAAAGATGCAGCTTAGATAAAGTAATGTATGTTTATTAGAACAGACTTTGTTGGGCTTGAAATATTCAAGATTTTAAATTGCAGAACCCACTGTAGGTGATCATGCTTAAATTGCCTACATCAACATTTTTCTTCTTTGGGGTGCTCTCTATTACAAAATTTTTCTAGGGTAAGAAAGACATATGAATCAAGAGGAAGGATTATATTTACTAGCATTGGCATTTCCTTGTTGTTTTCTGGCTTCCCCAAGAAGCATTGTACTTTTGTCTTTGTGGTAAGTTATCTGAGTGTCAATTCCAACAGCAGCCTATAATATTTTTTTTTTTTTTGAGAGAGAGAGAGAGAACATTAGACATCATGAAAGTAAACATTTGGGGTTTCCAGATGGGGCTACTAATATATAATAAACCTGTCCCAGTCATAGAATTTATGGGGAATTCAGATAAAGGCTTTCATTTATAATCCTTTGTTGTTCTATTTGCTTTTTCTACTTTTATCTCATCCATAAATAATCTTTTGAGAAAAAGATGGAGCAGCTGCATGATATCTTTTGATTGGTACTATTAAAAGATATCTGTCTGGAAGCACAATTAGTTGCATCTTGTATTTATGAGGCAATCACTTTCATCCAGTGGGTTGGATGAAACATGCTTGAGTGTTTGTAATGGATTTCATATTGACATTTAGGAAAGAGCCAGTGAATCTTGCTCACAACATCACAATGTTGGATTTGTCTTTCCATAAATAGAAAATGCATTCTGTTTGAAGAGTTGAAATACAGTAGCTTTTCACTAGATTACTGCTTTATTCTGCAGTCCTGAGTGTTTCCTTCCATTTTATTGTATAAAGTACTTTAATCCTCCAGATTTTGTCCTTGAGAAAGGTGGAAGCAGAAAGAAAATTGGTAACACTTAGTGACAAATACATCCCTGTTCTAGGGAAAAAAAAGGTTTGACCAGATTTCTATTCATAAAAGATATGGCTCGAACCCAAAACAATTACTAATCTATGCAGCGATTATGCAGTGTTTGTAAGAGTTTAGAAATTGACATAAAACAATGTTTTATGAGTGTTTTTGCTGTATACAGAGTACATGATCTTTGACTGATTGATTAAACATTTATATAGCTGCCAATCTTATACCAAACTCTGGAAGGTTTGCAATCTATTAATGATAATTGCTACTTAGAGGAATTTTATTTGCTGTTGGGCATCATAACATAACCCACATACTTTCTAGTTATACTGCATGTTTACTGACTCTAGGCACAACCTGGACTTAGAGAAATGTTTTTTGTTCAAACTCCATTAAGAACAGAGCAACATCTCCCCTCCCCCACCCCCAAATATTCAAGAATCCAAAAATAAGATATGAAGCATCAGCTTATGACTCCTAATAAACCATAACTGACCCACTGGACAAGCATTATATCATGAAGGATTGCATTGCTTCAGAACCTACCAGATAAGAACAAAATAACAGATTTGGAAAAAATATTGGAAGTTTTCTAGTCCAAGCCCCAGCTCAGGCAGGAAACCACAAACCATTTCAGACAAATGGTTGTCCAATCTCTTTTTATAAGCTTCCAGTGTTGAAGTATTCACAACTTCTGGAGGCAAGTTGTTCCATTGATTAATTGTTCTAACTGTCAAGGAATTTCTCTTTAGTTCTAGGTCACTTCTCTCCTTGATTAATTTCCACCCATTGCTTCTTGTCCTTCCTTCAGGTGCTTTAGTGAAATTCCTACAAATTTCTGTCCTTGAAGATGGGATTGTAATGGTATAACTGCAGATCGAGGCGGGGATTTTCACAGGATACAGATTTTACTTGATCTCGAGGGCACATTCCAGATACCTAATACTATTACTTACATCACTGACTCGATCTGTAGTGTTTAATGCCAAGGCAGACATTTGATTGGCTTCATTAATATAATTAATTATATTTTCATGTACATTGGAAGCATTTAGTGCTTTCTGTACTAATCCATTTGTGTCAATACCATGAAAAGTCCTGCAACAGAAAAAAGAGAGGGGGCAGGGGAGGGAATAAAATGCATCATATATTGCTCAAGATTACTATATATCTGTCAGTGCTGCCCTTGGAAGCTATTGTTATCCTTATTATATCACTGTGATGCTCATCTAGGAGGCAACCAGCCTTGAATGATGTAGACAGCCCTAACCAGGGTTGGTCCTGGTTACTGTAATGCTTGAATGGAGGACTATCAGCAACGTCAGGGCTATAAGCTAGGATGAGAAGCCAACAGACATTCTGGAAACAGGCAAGGGCAAACCACTTACATATCATGCAAATCACCAGGAGTCAAATCTGACTTGAAAACAACCTTACAGTAATTTTATTTATCAATATATAATTTTTCATTACATCTAACTCTCCCTCACTGGCATGATCCATCATGACATGCTAGAAGATGTTCAGATCTTCTCCAAGGTAGTTCATCAGTCAATCAGCATCCCCACTCAACTATTCTGGAATAAAGGATTATTCCAGATGTATCCATAATTTAAGTTCAGTCCATTTAGAGAACTGATATGACATAATGTTGAAAAATATAAATAGTGAGATAAGGAATGCTTTGTTTAGGTTTCATTTTAGTCTTTAATTTACTTCTGTATGCAGACTTGAGAAACATATTCATTGACACAACAACCATGTTACAGGAATAATAAAACTATATGGTTTCCTAAACCACCATATGAGGGACGACATAGCATTTATAGTTTAATGTTAAATGCTGTTGATAGGACATTTGTTTCATAATTCTCATATCCTTTAATAATGGTTGGAATTATTAAGCCAACGTGTAGCATTTTAAGACCCACTGATTTCAGTAGAACAGTTAATCACACAGTTCTGTCTCCCTGAGATCAGTGGGACTTAAGTGTGATTTCCCTTGTTTAGATTGTACTAATTTATTGCAGAAAGAGAATTTGGCTTAATACACTTGAAAGTTACCTCTCCAAATTATCTGCAAGGTCCTGAAGGCCCTGTGCATATTTCATGGCTTTTTCAACCAAATCTTCATCAAACCTTGACTGGTTGGCCTGTTTGTCCTGTAGCTGTACTTTAGCTCCATCTATTTCTGCGTAGAGCCTGGATGCATTCTGACCAAACAAAAAGAGTAAAGAAAAAGTAGCTATGATTTTTCTATAAACTGTAAAATGTCTTTCCAAATTAGGTAGATAGTGGTAAGGTGATAAATGGATTCTCATTGAGATGATGGAGCGTATCCTTTCAAACTGGGGATCATTTAGCTGAGCATTTTTCTACAGTGAAAAACATAACTGCAGCAAGGGATACAACTAGAATTAAAAAAAATTGTGATAGGGCCTTATTTTCTTCAGTATTCATTAAGGAGTTAAATAAAGGAAACATTCAGTTACATAGCTTCAACTTCAGCCCAAAATATGCAATCCTGACACAAGTTGAAGGAGTTTATTTATTTGTCAAAATTATAGAGATGCCCTACTCAATCCATTTTGGGTTGCATACCATAAAAACAGCATTCAAAGCACCCAATAAAATAGCAAGGCCATATACTGTACTGTAAAAAATGAGAGAAACTATGAGGAACGAGACTTGATAATGAAAACTCATGTCAAAAGCCATTCTTCTTTTCAGGGGCTGGAGAAAGAGCCAGATATCTTTCTCTATCTTAATATTGGGTAATTCCCTTCCTTATCACTCTTCCTTCATTATCTATCTTCTGCATATTATTTCTTTACCTGTCTGCATCACTCCTGTTAATCCTAGCTAGATGGCTCAGAGAACACACTTCCTATTAGATCATTTAAGCCTGTACCTAGCAGTCTTTCTTTGTCAGTAACTATTGATTAACACTGAGCTGATTATAACTATGTACTTGTGGCTATGTGTACTTGCCTGATACCATGATCCAATATCACAATTTAGATTTCTCTCTGCCATTGTCTCCAACTGGATGAATGATGCTACAGTTTCAGGCAATCACTTCTAGTTTTGTTGAGGACTTGCACCCTTTGCTGTAGCTCTTCCTATGTAAGCATAGGTAGTCCCTTAACTTACAATCATTCCTTCAGCCACCACTTGAGGTTACAACTGAAAAAAGTGACTTACATGACCAGTCCTTACACTTCCTCACAATCACATGATCAACATTCATGCACTCAGCAACTAGCATATAATTATGATGACTGCAGTGTCTTGAGGTAATGTGATTGCTATTTGTGACTTTCCCAGCCAGGATCGAATAACAAAGTCATCAGGGGAAAGCTGGATTTGCTTATTGACTCTGTGATTCACTTAACAGCAACGTGCTTAATAAGCATAGCAAAAAGTTTATAAAAATCAGGCATTAATCACTTAACAACCGCCTTGCTTAGTGACAGAAATTTTGGTTGCAATTGTCCCAAATATGCAGGCAGGGGTGAAATGCTTTTTCTGTCCAGAATGAGATAACATTTGGAAGTGACTCTGACAGACACTTCCGTAATCCACTGGAGGAGAAGAAGGTACAGCTCATTCAGAACTCCAAGATTCTGTTATTATAGTCAATCTCAATGAAAGTACTTTTAGCCTTTCTATGGAAATATTTTCCTGGTCTGGTTTACTAGTGGGGCTAAATCTATATTCTTGAACTTCCCATTCAAATGTAACCATTGAAATAAATAAATAAATTTCATTTATTCTGAAGTTCTTCATACTACTCCAGGAGGGACTTACTGCTAATCTAGTGTGTATGAGATGCAATCTGAATAGTGGTTAAATGCCCAATGTGTATCACCTCAACCCTGTTTTTCTCAAAACATGATTATTAGTAGTATCTGCTAAGTCTTGCTAAAGTTGATGTTAGTATAATACTGCATTCTGAAGATCGTGTTAAAAGCTGAAGATGTAAACTCTGTGGACCAGGTAGACAGTAGATTTTGATGCTTTATTTAAAAAGAAGATCACCTGTATTGCTTCATTCATGTCAAAGATGATTCCACGAGAAATATTTAGAATGTCTGTGGCCATCCCTAGGGTATTGTTCAGAGTGTCAATCTCTTCCTCCAATATTTCTTGTTGTTTCTGTAAGAAAAAAAACAATAATTCCTTAAATATGTTGGTTGTCTGCTAATCACTATTGTATTATTTTGAGTAAATTAGATGTTTTGATCCACAGTAAAATTAACAAATGCTTTACTGAACATAACTGATATTTGGAAGTGGAGCAAATATAATGAACATTACTAAAACATTAATATTTATTAATAAGGGCTGTGCAGTGCTTTGGATACAATCTCTAAAAGATGCTTTATAGGTGTACGGGAAACTGCAAATGTGGTACCAGTGTGCAAACCTTAGTCTGGTATGTGATCCCTGGAAAGGAGGCATCTGCTTTAAGATGTTGTAGACAAAAGCTTAGTACTGTATATGCTCCAAACATCTTTAGTTTACATTGCGCAGGTCTTTGAATAATATTCTAATGTTAGAACATTTTGATGGTGAATATTCTGAGATAAATATCTATAAAGGGAAGAACTTTCAATATGGGAGGAAGTTCCATCTTTCTTAGCGTTGACTAAGAATTCAAGATACTTTTCATTGTTATTACTGTCCCAACACCCTTCCTCCTAGCTCTCTGAAACAGCATAAGTAATTCAAATGGTCTTTTCATTCTTACATGAGAAGAATGCATGTAGTACAAGACATACATGTAGACCTTCTTTAAAACTGGTTGGAACTTATCCATAAAGTATAAAATCTTATTGTGATAAGCACATTGCCCAATTGTAGACAAGGAAATGAGCACATTTCCCTTCTGAAACTCAGCCTATGTGATCACTGCTATTATTCATTTACTTATTTATTGATAACACTTTTACAAACTGCTCCTCTTATATTGAGCTCTGGATGGCTCCCAGCCATTTGGTAAGGTGAATTCACCCAGTATCTGATTTTATTTCCTTAGCCGTACATACACCATCGATCGTATAATAAACAAGGTTATCCTGATAGATTACGGCCAGTATTTTGCACTGTTAAAAATGTTAAAATACAACAATTTTGAAACAATAGATGGCATGGTACCTCATGCGCCTGGAGTTTAGCAATGCTTTCATTATTTATAGTGGCTGTTTTTCTGATGTCATCAATAACTTGGTGCAAAGCCTCTTGCAAGTCTGTGAGTTTGGTGTGATGGTCCCCAAGCTGATCCAATATGTCAGGAATCAAAGACCTGGTTTCATTATGTTTCTGTTCCCAACTTTCAGCTTTCCTTAATACTAAGAGAAGAGGCAAGTGATTAATGTGCTTAAATTCCCTATTTCTCAGTCTCTGTAGTACACTTTACAGCTCTTGCTGGTGATGAACTTGTGTACTTCTACATGGCTAGTCTTCAATCCTCAGATTCAAACAGTGTTTTTAAATTTCTTCCTGCTTCTTACTGCTGCTGACCTCAACACACAAAAAGCAGGGCATGAGCTAGTTCAACACACCTTCCAGCTCACTGGTAGGAGAGCTCCAAAACCAGCATCCTAATAGCTTACAGCTCTCCCCTCCTTCATGTTTTTAACCTCATGTTCTGCCTGCTTTTTAAATATGTGAGAGGGATCTATAAAGCTGCATTTCAAAAGAGAAGCAAAATGAGAGGATAGTTTGCTGAGGAACCAGGAGTGACAAGAGTTCCCTCCAGTGGAAATGCCTACCTGAAAGCTTTTAGCATTCATGTTGCAAAAGTATTGTGGCAGTACTCTGCAGCAAAATCAGAAGTCAGCTGCCTCTTCTCACCTACTGAATGATGTGCAATCACACAAGAATGGAGCTGAGGTGATGCCAATGTCATAGACAGGAGGGGTAGATTAGAAGGATAAAAGAGCTGAAGCACTTTTGTTGAAGAGTTCAGAAATGAGCAATGAAAGTGCTAGGCAACTGTATTCCCAGCTCTTCAACATGTGATTTAGCACAAAAGTGCTGTGCTCTCTGAAGGAAAACTTATGTATCCCTGCCATAAATATTTTTTATTTTGCTTACTGAAGTATCTCAAAGTATCCAGATGTTGAAATTATCACATAAAATATTCAAGGTACAGAAATAATGCCATCATGCTTTTCTGCTGATTAGTGGCATCATAACTGGTATGCACTGTATACCTTTCAAAGGTTATCACCTTGAAAATCCTACATAATTTAGGGCCTGAGTATCTTAAGATCACCTTCTCTAAGTTGAATCTGCTCATCTGATGAGATAAATCAGAGAGGACTTGCTGAGGGCCCAAATCCATAGAAGAACTCACAGTCTTGAGCTGCTTCAGACTCTTCATCAGCAAGTTGCCTCTGGAAGGTGAAAGGTCTACGAAGTCTGATGTCCTTCAGCATCTCTTCTGCTGCTCTGACCTTCTGAGCAATATCTTCAGGCCTCAGATCATGCTCAATACCATAGTATTCTGCTTTGCTGCCAATTTCTGTACACAAAGCAGAGGCATATGATTCAAGATAATTTTTTGTTGTATATTTTATTGACAAAGCTGCTGCTGTCCTTTCTAGTTATGTTCCTTCAAAATAGTCACCATTTTGCTACAAATATTTTTTTCTCTTTGCTTGAATCAGAGCACCACTTGTTGAATAGATCAGAGGTCCTATACTTTAGGTCAGAGGTTTCCAAACTTAGCAAATTTAAGACTTGTGGACTTCAACTCCCAGAGGAGTTAAGTCTTAAAGTTGCCAAGTTTGGGGACCCCTGCTTTAGGTCATGACTTGGCAAAAACTCACATGTTGGCTGGGGAATTTTGGCAGCTGAAGCATATACATCTTAAAGCTGCCAAGGTTGAGAAACATTGATCTAAAGGGCTTGGAAATTGTCTTCATTTGAACACCAAAAAATGCCAATATGTTGGTGGCTCTACTGAGCAGAATCTACTGTACATAGGAACTCTTCGAAGCACATTGTGGTTATGGTCCTGCTGCTCTTAGCCTTTAGCCTTTGTTCCATTGTAGGAAGGAAGAGTCATTTCCAAGTTCCTAAATTATTGTGAAAATGTCCCAGTGTGGTTTATTTGGATAACTGACTTTTTTTTAACATAGAAATGTCCCAGGGATAAGGTAGTTCCCACATTTCAAATCAAATTGTTCAAGGATTTTAGAAAGTATCTGGATCTGTTTCTTTATCATTCTGTGTTAAAATTAGCTTGCATTCTCAAGATACACATAACATTGTTGTAAATACAAAGAAGAGTAGAAAAAGTTGAAAGCTGCCATACAAATCTGATCTCCTGGTACAGAAAAAAAATAAAATTAACAAATTTTCTCTGTTGTTTTGGGGTGGGATTGAGAGGGTATGTATCAAATAATTTGATTAGTAAAAACTATAGCTGTGAAAACTGGATTTTAATTCTGGTTCTCTTCATTTATATGTTAATTTTGGACAGTTTATAAATGTTCCTATAATTACCTTTCTCCATTGCCAGTTCCACGGATGTACCCCATTATTTATATGAATCAGAAATGCTCCCAGTTTACCTTGTATGTTATCTACAATATTTCCAAGTTCTTGTGCAAGAATAGTAGCACGCTTAATGGTCTCCATAGTTTCCTTCTGCAGCTGCTGACCTTTGCCTGATTCTTGATTTCTCTATGGAAAATCAGATGTTTGGAGCATGAGTATCACATTTTATTTTACATTTAAATCTACAGTATGAAAAAGCCTGCTTAATGTAACCAGATGTGGCTTCTGGCTGTTATGGACATGGATATCTATGTAATATGTACATGATATTTGACAATGCTGCAAGAAAAGAAACCACTGTCTTTCAAAAAGTGATAGGTATTTTTTTTGCAAAACAATCTTGTAGAAATCTTTCACACTTTGGTGTCATCCTATAATTTTTCTCCATTTTCTATTTGTTTACTTTCAAACTGACTCCCATTTAAGGCCACAGAATTCGTTGCACTTACTGTACTTGAGAGTTGGTCCTGTACCACAGAGTTTTCTGCCAAATGTAGTTGTTATAACCATTCTTTTGCTTGTATCATGGAAATGGACAAATTGAACTCTTGAGGATGCTTATATAGAACTTGAAGTCTTTCCTGCAGTTGCTGTACCTGTTATTGATCACAGTTGCTGGAACATGCAAAAACTATAGTGCAAATTCTAAAACAGATTTGCCAACATGAACTTTCCAATTGGAGCTTGATTTTAAGAGAATTATTTTAAAAATCTATTGTTCTGACAAAACTTTTGCTTTTCATCTGTCAACATTTTCCAAACAAAAAATTATAATAATTTATAATTTATTAGAAGAGCATAGCCTAAATACTCCAAAATACAGCTTTACACATGTTTTTTTAAAACAGCAATAGCACTTAGACTTATATACTACTCCATAGTTCTGGATTGAGTCAACCTTGAGCCAGTCAGAATCGAATTCCTGGCTGTGAGCAGAGTTAGCCTGCAATACTGCATTCTAACCACTGTGCCACCACAGCTAACATAGAAATGAAAATAAAATATTTATTTTCTCGCGCAGTAGTAATAATTAGCACTCTGATTGTTGGCAATGAAAGAAAGGCAAGTGTAGACAATATATGACATTACAACTTTACACTTTTCATATTTTTCAAAATTTTCCCCACTCTGTGTGTGGGGAACACACACACACACACACACACACACACATATACACACACGGGGTGGTGGTGGAGAGAGATATATAGGATCTGTTCAGGAAGGTTAAAAAGGTGCCAATCATGCTTACTTGAAAAAAAATATGAACTTTGTTATTTAGCCTGTTTTTGCTTACTGATAGTATTACTGGTTCATGGAATTTGCAATTTATTTCTTTAGCGTTATTAAGCTGATCCCGCTCAAGGCAAGAGAAATATAAGATGGAATAGAACATAATAAGCAAACCTTTTCATCAAGGGCATCAATTTTCCTGATAAGTTCTGTCATTTCATTTGCAGCAGCATCAACCTGGGTTGTCTGAAGAGCAGAATGATTGTCCTTCTCGGATAATTTTTCCTGAATGTAACAATGATACAAATTTGTTTCATTGTTAAAAATGATCTTCATTCTTTCAAGGTACTTACAGACCAATTACCTCAGGAATATATGTATTAATGAGCTTCATCACATGAATACAGTTGTGATGTTCTGAATGTCAGAATCAGAAGGTTGGAATGGATCTTAGGCATAAGGCAGAAGTTATGAGAATTATGTTATGATTAACTGATGCTTATTTAGTGCTTTATTGCATTTTAAGCAGAAACAGGCTGCATAGCAGCCTCCCAGTCTCTACATGGGGCTTCACATTCCTGTTCTGGTTCTGCTTTTCTTTTTCCACACCACAGACTAGTTTGCATATGTATACACGCCATACCAATGAATAGTGCACAGGAGGGTGTCTACTGTTTGTCACAGGCACTGTACAAGCAATCTAAGCAAAACTTTTGCTAAGGTTCCATATATTGTTTGCTTCCTTTGCATTTTTCCCATTTTCTCTGTTGCATAGAAGAAACACACAGTATGCATAATAATGGCATTACTCAAAATAGAAAAATAATTGGTGAAGATGATGGATGATGAGATATTCAAACTGACTTCTTTGAGAGAAGAACAACAATTATTATTGACTGCAAACATCTTATGGGCTTTTTGTAAAACAGTCAAAAATGAATTTATGACTTTGATGATAAGATAGGGTAGATTATAGAAAGAAGAGGGTCATGTTGTAACCTCAGAGTAAAGGGTAATGTATAATTGCATTTAATAATTGCTGTGAAGAAGTGTGAAAACCACTTCTTTGTATCTTTTTACATTTCTTTTCTATTTTTTTTCCCTTCCATCTTTCTGTTTCTTTTTTTCTTCTGATTTATAGTATATTATTTTGTATTAGTTTTTATCTTCCTTTGTAAATCTATACACAAATGGGCACCTATTCAGAGGCAGTATAAGCATAAAATCTATTCATGAATCTGTTTTGGCACCTATCTTTCTTGATATGTATGATAGATTAATTGATGAAACTCTATTGTGTAGTTCTTCGCTCCTTAAGTCCAGAGTCTCTTATCTTTTCCTTAGAGATGATGGAAGACAATTCCTTCCCCTTTATTTAGATGTGGTTTTGATAAGTACCATGTGACCATAGGCAATCCAGATAATAATAGCTACCCCTTTTTCTTTTTACCATGCTCTATGGATATGAACATGGTCTAGCTGTTTAGAATGCAAAACCAGATTTATACTGAGAATATGATCTATCATCCTGGTCATGCCAATCTTTTAAAACATTTTAGGAAAGTAAATATAGATCCATTTAGAGGAAATTCTATTTCTTCCTTTTAATTCCTTCTATTTTCCTCCTCCATTTTAACACCCCCCCCTTTTTTTTCTTATTTATTTGATTTACTTTGAGCATTGATTTCCCAGTTTATTTCAAGAAACCAAGGATGTTTACAGTAAAAATCAATATATTAGCACTCCAATTTACACTAGGTTTTATAGAAAGAAAATGGAACAGCAGTCAAAGTACTTTAACTGGATAACACATACTAATATTTTCGGTTTTAGTACCAACTTTCAGAAAGCTATTAATGAGAAAACGAGTTGGATCTTCTCTGCCGGAATGTTTCAGAATTTGATGTGTCATCAAATTGCTCAACAGTACTTTTGGAATTGTTAAGACATAAAACGTTTCTCCAAAATGATATCACTATTGGGGAAAAGTTGTATAGATGAAAGTAATTCACTGGATATTCTGGTTTTAAAATGTATAGGGCTATAAAGGTCAAATAGTAGCTAGAAATGGAGAGTATGATAGAGCTGTTTCAAAGAAATGGGAGTTATATTTTTATGTACAGTCTCTGTTAGCCAAAAATCTGCTGCAATATTTTCATTTGCTTTTCAAAGACCACTGTATACAGTATAGAGCAGAGCAACAATTAAGATATGGTGGAACAAATGCAGTTAGTCATATAGATGATTTTTAAAATCTTGTCCACATCCTACATTCTGCTATTCCGTGACATATATGTCACTTTGACCAGATGTTTTCCAAGTATGGGTCTATGTACTGTAGTTCAGCCTCAGCTAAATACTGGCATCCAAGATGAAAACCAAACTCAGAAAAATCTCCTTTGCTTTCAAGAGAAATGCCATTCTGTTCAATACAGGATGAAACTTCAAGTAATCATCAGAACAACTCTTGTAGCAAGATTGACTTTCAGTGGTTAGTCCACATTAATTCCATCACTATTTTGAAACAATATTCAGAATGATAATATCCCTCTCTGAAGAATAAAGCAAGGAGACCAAAGAGTAAGTGGTGACCCTAAATCCCAAACTTCAAATTACCTTCTTCAATGTTTTCATGTAGTTGTTCAATAACAGTATAATATAGAACCCATGGGACAACTGCAGGCAAAGAACTGCTTCAAGAAATCACCGCAGTTCATATTATCAGGTGAAAAATACATAGAGAGTATTTTTCTTTTAATGCCTTTTGTTTGTTTTAATTAAAAAAAAAACTTAGTTGAAAAAGATTTTCCTATCCCTTTGTTTTGACACCATCCATGACTTCTTCGATATCATCCATTGAGAGGCTTGCATCCTCAGTACCAAAAATGTTAATTCCCTCCTTGCATTAGCCACCAGCCAAGGTGTTAAATAAGCACTACAATATTAACATCATTTCTCAGACTACATCTCCAGGAAGGACAGAAGCACACCCCACTCCTGCCCAGCATCTTGCCTTCAGCTTCAATCCATTAACATAAAATAATATTACAAGCAATGACATTAAAAGTCATTGAGAGACCCAACAGAATCAAAGGAATGCACTCCTCTTGCTTAATTCCTGGAAAATGCCCTTCATCCAAGTTATTTTAAAATTGACCTCATTTTTTTTATTAATAAAAAGACTCCAACCACTGAGAGATCAGTTTTTCCATACAGCTTTCCAATAGCTGATTAGTGGCAAGACTTACTCTGCAATTTATTGTTATATCACCTTCCCCCACTTGTCACTTCTTTCAAAGGGAGGGAATCCATAGATTATCTCTTTCCCCCTCTCTCTACTTCACTTTTTAAGAAGAAATTGGACAGTCATTTGCCTGCAATGGTTTAGGGTCTCCTGCCTCAGCAAGGGGTTGTACTAGAGAAGAGAAGAGAAAAGGGGGTCGAGCTATTTTCCAAAGCACCATTATTCCTTGTATGCTACAAGGAATAATGGATGGAAACTGAACAAAGAGAGATTCAACCTGGAAATAAGGAGAAATTTTCTGAGAGTGACAGCAATCAACTAATGGAACGGCTTGCCTTTGGAAATTGTGGGTGCTTCATCACTGGAAGCTTTCAAGAGACTGGACTGTCAAAAATGATGTAGGGCCTGCTTGGGCGGGGGGGGTTGGACTAAGTACAAAGTACCTTCCAACTCTGTTAATCTGTAACTGTATAGAATGGTCCCTTCCAATTTTGTTATTCTGTTAATACTTAACTGCACCCTATCAAAATAATTTAGGAAAAAAGATGGTGACCAACCAAAGGCTTACAGCTGAATGGAAATTAACAACCTAAATCTTTTTTATTCTTGACTGATACTGTCCATTCACTATACTCATGTGCAGTGCATGTATAGCTCTCTCTCTCTCTCTCTCTCTCTCTCTCTCTCACACACACACACACACACACACACTTTCTCTCTCTCTCTCTCTCTCTCCCTCCCTCCTTCCCTCCCTCTCCCTCTCTCCTATCTCTCTCACTCATGTCTTTGTATCTAAATTTCTACTTAGACAAACTAAACGAATATACGAACTGAGTTTGCTACAGAGCTGTGTCTGAGATTGTGCAAGCTGAAATTGAAGTTGCCTTAGTGGTAATAAATCTGGAATGACCATGGTACGCATATCATGTATTATTTCATTGTGACGTTAATGACTTGTAAACTTGCTGAGCTTGAAATTTCTGCAGACTATAACTCGATCTATTTATAGAATCGTAGAATCATGGAATTGGAAGGGACCCCAAAGGTCATTTAATCTAATCCTCTGAGATGTGCAGGACAATATATTAAGCCATGCATAAAAGGTGACTATCCCGTCTCTTCTTAAAAACTGTAAGACAGAGCTCACAACCACCATAGGTAAGATGCTGTATAGATATTATTCCAGGGAGTTTTTGTTATATTTAAATGACTCTTGGTAGTTGTAATTTATACTTGTTATTTCTAATCTTCGTTTCTGTGGCAATGGAAATTAGGTCTTGACCATCTTCCCTATGGCGCCCTTTTATGTATTTGATTGCTGATATCATGCATTGACATGTGTTCTATTTTTTCATGGCATATAATAGCTGAGGAAGGAGCAAATTTAAAATGGAACAGAATTATTATTTTCTTTGTAGTGGGCCAGGTTTCATATCTTCTTTTCTCCCACCATAAAAAAAAAAATTACCTAAATCTCCCCACTCCTGTTTATTTTAACTCTGAATGGAAGCTGTTTCCAGAAACAGTATTTTTTTTTAATGAGATTGAAGAATGAAGAAATTAGGTACCTTGAGGATAAAAGTAGTGGTATTGAGGTCATGCAAGTGTTTGTGAGCTGCAACTCCAGTGGAGATGCTTAGTAGAATTTCTTTGCTTTCCTCAATGGATTGGATTGCCAGGCTGATATCATCAGTCAAGTCCCAAATGCATTTGTCACAACCTAGCAATAAATGAAAATGAAGACAGTTGAAAAGGATTACACATTTTTGTTAGAACCCTGCAAAACTCAAGTGGCTTTTTTGCTTTATAAAATAATGTTCCTGCTTGTTTTCCCCATTTAGGAAAAATCTGCCAAAAAGATGTACAGCACAAGAAATTCACAGCAAGAAATTCAGATTTTTGTTGTACAGTTATTACCAGTAATATTGAAATAATAAAACCTTTATATCAAAAATATATAATCTTTTCACATTTCTATATGGCTTTAAATTCACAGAAACACAATAATGTTAGTATACAGTGTTCTCAAAGTGAAACACCTACTGCCTTACCTAACAAGTACAGCATATAATTAGGAAACTATAGGAAATACTCTTTTGCAGGGCAGCAAGAGAAAAAAATAACACTTAAGCGGAAGAATTAATTAAAAGGAAAAGAAAGCAACTATTGCAGAACACAAAAAAGAGACAAAGTTCATATGAACAATTTTCCAAATGTAAATGGATTTATTTTTAATGGGATACTAGACAGATTTTATTTCTTAAACATTTATCTCTGTGAATACCAGATTTAATAAAAGAGATACACAGAACAAAAGACATTGGTCCCTGTTTTATAACCTATCTTTAGCCTAATTTCACAAAAGAAAGATCTGGGGCTGAAGTTGGCCAGAAATCAAGACTGAATTTGGATTTTTAAAAACTAGTTACTTTATTAATTTATGGTCAAAAGCCCAAAGTATCGTCCCCAACAGAATTCAGTTCTTTATTCCTAAATATATTGAGGGGTGACCATTGCCAAAGAAAATGGACAAATCAATAAAGGAGAATATTTGTAGCTCAGAGTTGAAATGATGGGCCCTTGTGCTCTCTGAGCTTGCTTGTTTTCTTGCAGACGTTTCATTACCTCAGTTAGGTAGCATCACCAGTGCTAGTGCTAAATGCCACCTCAAAATAATTGGATACATTATATTTAGAAAGTAGATTTGATCTAGGTTTCCAGTCATTTTGTCCAAAACTTGGCTGCATGAACTGAACATTGAAGTAGGCAGAACAACTGTCTTAAATCTCGGTGGGATTAAGTTTCCTAGGCAGATTGGGCCTTTGGTGTAGAAGCCTTCATCCTGTTTCACTTCAGGTTGTCTCCTCTTTGAAGTGCCTTTCCTAGGTTGAACTTTTCCTTCTCCCAATGAATCATTGTGAAAAGGGGCATTTTAAAAAAAAAGGACCAACATTCCTTCAGGGGTAATTTTTTGGGAGTCACATTTTGGAGTTGAAGCAAGGCATGGATGGCCAGAGCTTACGGTTAGACTTAAGCACACAAAATTATCTGCGACAATGTCCCACCAGTCAATGACTACTTCAGTTTCAACCACAATACAAGAGCACACAACAAGAGCACTCAATGTAAACCGCTCCAGATTTGATTGCAGAAAGTACGACTTCAGCAACAGAGTAGTCAATGCCTGGAATGCACTACCTGACTCTGTTGTTACATCGTCTAACCCTCACTCCTTTAACCTCAAACTAACCACTATTGACCTCACCCCTTCCCTAAGAGGTCTGTAGGGGGTGTGCATAAGTGCACTATCGTGCCTACTGTCCCTGTCCTATTGTCTCCATTTATTCATACCTATTTCCTCTACTCTTACTCATGCTTATACTTTAACCTATTATCTTGTAAGCGATTGACAAATCAAATAAATAAATTAAAATAAATAAAGTTTATGGGCAAACTTTTATTTCCATTCTTCTCTCTCACTTCTTTTTTCTAACATATTCTTGCCTCTTGTTCAGGCATCTGGCTAAACAGAAGGATCTTTCAGAGACCTCAGAACTACAGTCTGCCTAGACTTACTTCAGGTAATTCCTATGCCAAACTTTAATGTAGAGGTAGTCCTCCAATTACAACAATTTGTTTAGTGACCGTTTGAAGTTACAATGGCGCTGAAAAAATGACATGATTATTTTCCACTTTTATGACCCTTGCAGCATCCTCATCATCATGTGATCAAAATTTAGAGCTTTGGAAACTGACTTGTATTTATGATGATTGCAATGTCCTACCTTTTTGTGATCACCTTTTCAACCTTCTGACAAGCAAAGTCAATGGGAAAACCAGATTCATTTAACAACCATATTACTAATTTAACAACTGCAATGATTCACTTAACTGGAGCAAAATTCACCTAATAACTGTCTCGTTTAGCAACAGAAATTTTAGGCTCAATTCTGGTCATACTTTAAGTAGAGGATTACCTGCAGCATATTCTAATGTCTACCTCTTTTACATCTATCATTCCATAAACTAATGCTGGCCAAAAGGACCACAGAATATGTATAATTTGGAGATGTAAACATGGGGAAGAAGGACTGAGTGTAGCAACAGAATACATCTCTGCTCTTCTTACTGATATCTGGGCAATCTGTGACTGGAGCAGGCATTGGAGGTTCTCCGAGGCATTGTCCTGTTCGACGATCACAAGGTGCTCCTCCACAGTTGCATGCTGGGAAAAGACAGGTCAATTTATTACTGTGCACTTGTTTAAAATGGTAAGCATGCAAGTAAATAATTATTTCATACTGGGATATTGTGAACTCTCTGAGATAATTTAGACAAGAAGTACTAGCTCTTTCTTTTTTTTTTTGTAGAGGGTGTTCACTAATAGAATCTTGCAAGACTGCAAGTAATTCTCCCCTCTTTTCCTTTTACTCTCTATAAAACTAGGGAGGGTCTTTTCTGAATACTTCACATGCTATCACCCCTTCTGTGAGTTGAGACATCTTTTACATGCCATTTATCTAGCTGACCGTTCTACAATATACACTATACTATACACCCATATCTTCATTTCTTAATTCCTCCTTACCTATTTCCTCAAACTCCCTTCACTTTATTTTCCTTTCCCTGGTGTTTCTTTCCTCGATTGTTTTTCTACAGTCTTCAGCCATCTCAATTGCTGCCTACAGCTCCTGCCCTCATGAATTTTTTCTCTCTGTTGTTTGTGTCAATAGAGGTCAGTTGCCCAGGAATCAGGCATGTAGGAAGAAATGTGAAATACTAAAACAACTTTTGACTTTATATTTTAAAGAATTGGTTTTTCTTCCTCATATGAAAAATATTGACCCATCTAAAATCCTGAATTGTACTTTGGCTATAGCCTGGGAATCCCTTGCCCTCTTTCCTCTAAAAAGGCACTGAATGGGCTTATAAGAAACACAGTGTTTTATACCCTGACCACTTGCATTATGGAGGAACCCTCTGGAGCTTTCTCATTCAGCTGTAGCAGCATGCCTACCCTAAGTTCAGACACAATAGCTTGTTAAAGATGTCAAGATTCTTTATGCTATTCATTTCATACAATTTTATAGGGGAGAAGGTGCTTAAAATGGTGAATAAAAACAGATGTTACATAATAAATTAAATAAGTTGTAATATAATACTTATGGTTCTGGAATATTTATTGATATTCTTGCATTAGAGAGACCGACAGGTAGAAAGCCATTCTATATCCTTAGTCTGAATTCAATTAATAATTTGGCATTAGAAGCAAAGCTACATCTAGGATTTTATATTATGAGGCCAAGATATGGTTTCCCTTTGCTCAAATGATATAACCCAGAGCCAATAGGCTTAGAAAAATAGCTGACTGATAGTTGATCATAATAACAAAAGTTTGGTCAAGCATTAATCACAATATAGAATAGTTTAAATTTTATTTTAGCGTACAAATTCAGTATATTCTATTACTGATACTTTCCCTCTGGAAATTTTTTGGGGAGGGAGGAGGCATTGTAGTCAGTGTTATCTTCTGGTCAACTGCCTGGACTAGATCCTGCAGTTTTCTTGACAAAATATATTTGGAAGTGGTTTGTCACTGTCTCCTTCTTAGGGCTGGGAGAAGGAGAGGCCACTCAGTTGGCGTTTTGCCTCAGGTGGGACTAAAACTCAGGGTCTCTGAGTTTCTAGCCTGGTGCCTTAACCACCACACCAAACTGGCCCTTCATCCCTTTGTATATGTTAATAAAGTTTTAGTTATTTGGATGATTGTATTTGATTGGCTTTACTTGCTTGATCAAAGAGGTTCATTGTATGTACATCCTTTTTATATGTCTATATAGAATGTGACTATATGACTGTGTAGAGATCTCAGTGAATTTAAGGCAGCATTTATGTACTACCTTACAAACTATGTTATTTTAAGACACAAGGAATTTGGCATTGTGACGTTTGATAATAGTTGTTTTTCTATAAAGCAAGAAATAAACATATAGGTTTGGGGAAAATGTATGCAATAAATCAGAAAATAATTCCAGAAACAATTATTGCAATTGAACAATAAATGTGTTTTTTTTTAAATCATGACCTAACTAATTTATATGTGAAACATGTAAGTTTGCAGCATAACAGCTCTGAGGAAATTACTGACATATAAAAAGTAACACTCTTGCAATTTTGAATGTCTATGCTCTTACATTTACGAAATAATGCTATTTTGGTAATGGCTCATTTGCATAATCATGTTAATAGAATATCTGTGATTTCCCATTAGATGCTTGCTAATTTACAATTTCTATGCTCTGACCCTGATTAAAAAAAAATAACGCTGATAAAAAATTGCATTACTTTTCATGCCGTTCTTTTAATCTCTGAATTCTAAAAATAAAACTGGCTATATTTCTCTATAATGTTGAAGTGTTCAAAATACTACAGATGAGAAATGAATTTATCTAACACCTGTAGAGAAAGAGGACAAAATTCCCAAATGTATATATGTATTATCTCAATCAACAGACTGTTATCACGAATATAATATAAACCTTATACTTTTTAAACCTTATACTGCTTGAAACGCTAAATTATTTATTACTTTCAAGATAAAAAAAGCAGAATAGTTTGTGCAATTTTTAAATGTTGGGCTTCTAAAGGATTCATTTTTGGAATACATTAATTTTTTTGGCACTTTTGTCTTATTATGCTTTAAAATTAGCTTAGTCCAGGGGTGGGCAAACTTTTTGGCTCGGGGGCCACATTGACTTTTAAAATTTGACAGACGGGCCGGCTCAGCACAAGATTTTTTGAGAATCGCCCCCCTACCCTTTCTCCCACCTTCTCCTCCTCCTTTCCCTCCCCTCGGAGGCCCCCTGAGTCAGGAGTTGCTACCGCCAGCGCAGCTCCACATGGCTCCAGTCCCGCGTTGCCTCGGGAAGGGAAAGGCAAAAAGGAAGAGCCGCGACGGCGCTTTGCAACGGCAGCAGCGGCACCAGAGGCTCAGGCTCAGCGGCTCCTGGTTTTGCCTTTCCCTTCCCAAGGCAACGCGGGACTGGAGCCGCGCGGCGCTGCGCCGGTGGTAGCAACTCCTGACAGCCCCAGCCGGACACCTGAGCGGAGCCCGGGCAGAACTGCCTGTTGCTGCTGCGGGCGCTGCTGCGGGTGTCTGGCTGCTCAAGTAAAGAACCGCACCAGCTCAGGGCAACTGTGAGGAGCAAGAGGGGAAGCCAAGGTGCTCATTTCATAGCAGTCAACTTCGCTCTCTTTTGCTCCAGTTAGGTGCTCCCGGCATGCACAAGGAGCATGAAGGGAGGCAAACACCGCACAGATGCATTTTAAAAGTCAGAGAACTTTGCCCAAGACTTCTTGTGTATTCAGGGGCTACACCTCTCCCAACGATGAGTTGGTGGCGATCTAACAAAATGTCTTCCAGCTTTTAAAGATTGACTTTAAGAGCGCCCCCATGGAAGAAGCCAAGAACGAGAACAAAAGTAGAGGCGGCGGGGGCAACAAGGGCATGTGACGGTCCCCTCCCAGGTGACAGCCAGAGCTTTGGCACCTACTTTTTTCCTGAGAGGTGCGGTGTCTGCCTCCCTTCATACTCCTTGTGGAGGGACACACATGCCCCATCACTCCTGCCATCATTACGTTTGCTTGGCTTCTTCCATGGGGGCACTCTTAAAGTTGACCTTTAAGTGGTCCCGGAACATCCGCCTACCTGCCCAGTACCCGCCCTCCCAGAGCACGCTTTCTTCCTTCTCCTGGAGAATGTGCCTCTTCCAGTCCGGCCTGGCCCGGCCAGCCAGCAGGTGACCACATGTCCTGGGGCTTGTCGCGAGATGCCTGCAGCATGCTCTGTTCTATGTGTCAGGCCCAGCAAGTCCGAGCAGCAAGTCCGAGCAGCCGGTTCATAGAACAGGGTGGTGCCGGACCATTGGAGAAGCGGAGCAAAGCCGGAGATTAGTAGTTGCCTCTTTCAGCGCAGAAAGCTTCCCCCAAGCAGCCGGCTGGTCTCCTCCTTCTCTGCGTGTTTGTTCTGTATGGCCGAGGAGGAGGAGACCAGCTGAGAAACGCGCTGCCAGGCGGGGGCCACGCGGTGCAGGGCAACACACCACCGCCTGGCCCTGGTGAGGGAAAGCAGTGGGCATTCCCTGGGCAGCGACCTCGGCCCCGCCACCAGGGAAGCGGCTGCCCAGCTCCGTGTTGTGTGTGCAATTTTTTGGCGTGCGGCGCGGGGTCTCTTTTGGCCAGCTCCGATTTTTTTTTCAGAGGGGAATACTTTTTTTTCAGAGGCGGGCCGTATTAAAATGACCAATGGGCCAGGTGTGGCCCTCGGGCTGTAGTTTGCCCACCCCTGGCTTAGTCCTTAGGATGGGTTGGTTTTACTGTGATATAAATGTATAAATTGCATGATTAATGCACTCCTGCAAAGCAGACAGATATCCTTTATGGATAATAATGTCAGTATATTAATCTGCCTTGCTGTAAAGGCACAAAGAAGCCAGATTCCCTCTGAAATAATTTTCAGAGCAATAGGAATTATATCTCCAGTTATAAGTTATATGATATTTAAATGAAAGTTCTGATCTTAGTGGCACTGTTCCTTAGCAATGTTCCTCCAATACTAGAGCTTTTAAAGAAGAGATTGGACAAGCATTTGTCTGAAATGGTTTAGGGCCGTGATGGCGAACCTATGACATGCATGCCACAGGTGGCACGCAGAGTCGTTTGTGCTGGCACGTGAGCTGCAGGCAAACTTACCTCAATGGGCATGCACGCGCCTCACAGTTGATTTTTGGCCAGTTTGAGGCCTTTTTTGGACTCCCAGAGGCTTGAGGAAGGCTTCTGCAGGCTTTTCAGGATGAAAAGTAGGCCCATTTTGTCACTTCCTGTTTTTCCAGAAATACCAGGGCCTAGTTTTTGGCCTATAAAGTCTGAAGAAGCCTGCAGAAACTTTCCTCAAGCCTCTGGGAGGGCGGAAAAGGCCTCAAACCAGACAAAAATCAGCTGTGAGGAGCAGTTCAGGTAAGGAGGTGGTAGGGGTGGGTGGGTGGGGATTGCATGCACATGCTTAGGGGGTGTGGGGAGGCACGCATTGCCTTCTGGGTGCTGACACACGAGCGTGAGCGTGCAAACACCCACACAATTTTTGGCACAGGAGCTCACAAAGGTTAGCTACCACTGGTTTAGGGTTTCCTGCTTGAGCAAGAGGTTGGACTACAAGATCTCCAAGGTCCCTTCCAGCTGTTATACTGTTTTTGTTTTTTAATGTTTGTATTTCCAATGTTATTTTATGTATCTATAAAATCTGTTCTTCTTTGCTATAAACTCACCAAAATATTTCTGAGGGAGATGGGTGGTTTAGAAATATGCAATATAAATAGTCAAGAGAGGATCAATTTTTCATGCATATTCATGGAACATATCAAATATTTTACAAAATGTAGTACCTGTGCATTTTTTAGCTATTCTAGCATCCCCATAATAACCAGGAGCACAGAGCTCACAATTGAATCCTGTGGTACCACGCATGCAGTTGCGACACTGGCCTGTCACTTCATCACAATCCTCAACGATCAAGTTAGGATCCGAATTGCCGCTGCAGTCACATTTTTTGCAAGTACTGCCAATCACCAAAGGGTTTCCATAATAACCTGGAGCACATCTGGAGTGAAAATACAAACCCAGAAATTATTCATACACATGTTTTTCAGATCTTTTGGCCTGGTGGCATTTTGAGGGGGGTGGGGATAAATCTACAACAAGGTAGAAATTTGGAGCACTTCCCTTCACCCAGAAATCTGATCTATTGCTCTGACCTCCAGAGTTCCAAGATTGAAATTTGCATTGCTTCCTTATACTTATCTAACACCAATATTTTTCATGAAATATTTCCAGCTTCTTTGACATAGCAGATTGGTGAGGAAAATAAATTATTAAAAAAAATCATGCCAAAAGGTCACGCTGTAATATAATTTTTCACATTTCATCCACTTGATATATTCTTCAATTTTTTGACATAGGTGTTCAAGAGATTTGAAAAGTGTTTTTTTAAAAAAACAACAACATTGCTTCCTGGGGCCATGGAGTGCTGCTTGCCCTTTCAATGGGAAATCAGTTGAAATGCAGTTTATTCTTACTTAATTCTTAATGTTCATATGCAGAGATGTCAAAAACGCACAGCATCACTGGGACGTCATGTGATGTATCACATCTTTTTTTCCCCTTCACTAAACCGGGTGTGGGTGTGGCCAATATGTGATGCATCTGGCCCACGGACTGTGAGTTTGACAGACCTGCTCATATGTATGTAAGAACACCTCTCTTTAATAGGGGAACTGAATTCATTGAGGTTCATGTTAACTTGTTCTGATCCTGGACAAATTTTTGCATTCAGTCACTCCATGGGACCTACCCAAATGAAAGAGAGCCTGCTCATAGAGTCATCAGGAATGCAAAAGTGGAGCTACAAATGATACATTTCTTTCCCCCGCCCCTAGCAATTGCTGCCCTGGAAATGCCTGAAACGGCTTTGATTTCTAATAGATTTAATACACTCCAACACTTCCATTATAGAGTGAAAATGGCCCCCATGTCCCACCACTCTCATAGCCTCATGCCATCAGCAGCCTGCTCCCCATGGCCTTAACTTTTTTTAAAAAAAATGATAATGTAAGTGCAGCACCCAGATATAAAAATCTGTTTTATGCAAGCTTTTTTGGTCTTTATAGGTTGTTCCTCTCATTCATTTGAATTTCCATTCCCATTCATTTGATTTATATAACCTATCCTATGCTTCTCTTCCTTTCCTTTCTTCAGTACAGATGGATATATGATGGAGACTATTTACGCACTCAAAGTGTGATGGGTACTTTGTACACTTGTGAGTTGCATATGAATGTGAATTCATTCTTACACAATTCTTAATGCTCATATGTATGTAAGAGCACTTCTTTAATAAAGGAACTGAATTCATTGAGGATCATTTCAATAACTTCAGTCGGAGCAAGGAATAGAGAAGTAAAGCAACTGCATTGCTAAATTGAGATTTATCATTCTTAAAACATGTCCATACCTTTCGCAGTTTGACCCTGCATACTGTTCTTTGCATTTACAGCGCACCACTCCATTTTTTCTGTAACAGGAGACTCCAAAGCTAAAAGTATATTAAAAAGTCATTATTAGATATGATGATTCACATACTCATGAATGTAACCTGTACAATACAGAATCTCAATGGGTTTACATTGAAAACCTTTGTTCATTTATTGCCAAATGTGGGAATACCTCATCCTGATCTAAGGTTTAGCTACTCCTAGAAGATAAAATAGAGATCATAAGCAATGAACTCACTAGCCAGTTTTGAGTGACTTCAAAGTGGGAATCTTAGTTTAGAAATAATATAATTAGTAAATGAAGTAGCTGTTATTTATGCTGGTTGTTGATAGCAGAGGAACAAAGAGAAATCATACTTATTTCCAACTGGTTTTAGTAGGAAAACATATGTTCAGGCTCTGTCATTTCCTTCATTTCAGTCCTTGGTTGCTTTGAAGGAGAATTATTGCTACCCAAAATGCCAAGTGGTGTATAACTTATGTACATGAACCTTTTAGAACCCTTGCAACATAATTCATTCAGATTCCATTGAAGTTAATTAGATTCAAACCATAGGCAATTGCCTGCTATGCAGACTTTGTAAGACTATTAAAAAAAAGAAAGCAAGATTAACTTAACGTACAATCTGAAAATTTTATTTTAATTGAACTCTATTTGAGACAAGTTTTTTCTATTACAGAAAAGATAAAGGAATGCAAGCTTCCAGGCAGTAAGAACTCTTCAGTGGGCAAATAAAAATGTTGAAAAGGAAAGCAGGAGGGAGCAACTATGGCTGGGAAATAACACTTTTTTCTGTTCCTTTTTTCCCCAAGAAAGAAAGAAAAAGAGAGCAGAGATTAATTTTTGCAGCTGTATCAGTCCTTGCTGGAGCTGCTGTCTTGGAATGCACAAATATTGGATCTCTGAAATTATGAATGTGTTAGAGAAATCCAGAGAAAGTCAAATGAAAGGCAACATCCAATTTTTCAACAACACACAAGAATAAATTAACTCTGTGTGACTTTAGCATATCTGAATACTATAAGCTAGCTTTCCCCAATCTTGAAAATTCTCAATATGTTCAGAATTCCAAAATTCTTTACCATTATAATGAAGATTAAGAAACTAGTTGGGAAACTTTATGGTAAGCATTATTACAATACTATCTTTTTTTTAATTTTCCGGTTTGGATATTCTTTGCACACTACCTTGATAATATAATAATGTACTTTAATACACATTATTTTACATATTTTATTTCTTAGTGCACCCCCCCTCCAAATATTCAGCTTTTGAAAGTTGTCCTATTTTAACTTACAAATTCAGACACAGAAGAACTATTCAGTAACTATGCTGTTTAGTAACCAAAAGATACAGTATATTTGCTACAGATGGTGTCATTCATTAGGGAATCGCATGCTTTGCCTGCTCAATAATATTTGGCAATTCTATCTCCTCCTGGGGAATTTTGGTGGGATTCCAAAACCCAAATCACAAGGAAGTCTCTTATATTTATTTCCTGTGGCATAAATTTTATGGGCCAAAATTCTTTTTGTCAGACTCACTGAGTAGATAATGCTGGTTACAGAAATAATATAGATATATTTATCCCCTAGAGCAAGGTTTTATTAATATAGCTTCTTCCCAGGTTACCTAGCTATCCAACATATAGAACAGAAGTCTCCAAACTTGGCAGCATAGCTGGCTGGAGAATTCTGGGAGTCCACAAGTCTTAAAGTTGCCAAGTTTGGGGACTCCTGATATAGAGCATGGAGGCTGTAACAGGTGGGTGGTAAATCTCAAAAAACTCCCTTCACATCAGGTGGCCAGAAATGAGTTCTACTAACACCAGCAGGATTGGCTGTATGGAGCTCATAGCTTCCACAGAATTCTGATGGGATTGTTCTGAGTACCTAATCAAATGCAAATAAAGAATGCTGTATTATTTTTTGTAGGAATACAAAAAAATGATGCAAAGATTCTGGCTTCTATTATATTTCATCTGTATGTCTAAACCACTATTCTCTAGAGCTACCATAAGTGCATTTATTTCCCTTGTTTGGAGATGTTTATAAAGTCAGGGAGACTTGTTTCAGATTGTCATGAAAAATAGTACTTGCACGCTGCCTTCTGTTAACATTTTAATGACATCATTTCAACCTTGTTTCATCCCTGGAGTATTTTTCTCCTCAACCTAATTTATACAGAGTTAATGCCTTATATATTGAAAAGAACTCCAGTTCTGGATACAATAATAAGCTAGAATTATTTCTGTATATTTTGTAAGAAAGTTTGAAACATTACTAGGGAATTAAAATAATAATAATAATAATAATAATAATAATAATAATAATAATAATAATAATAATAATAATAATAATAATATCATCATCATCACATATGTTGACATTTTAAACAACTGATGTTCTGTTGTTCCAGGACTTTTCTGCAAATTCCCAAGCTATCCAATATGAATGGAGATAATCTTCCAGACCTCCATGCCTGCTCAGAAAATCCATCACAATCCCTACAAGATGAGTTCCAAGAACAACTGTGTAAATAATGAAGCTGCCAGTTTAAAGAACTTGATACATTTTTGGGCAGACTTTATAAATCCTTGTTCTGGGTTAGTCTTATAGCTAATTTCTTTGTTGCAAAACAGAAGAGCAAGCCTTTGTTTCCCACAATTTTTAAGGAATTACATTCCTGTAAACAAACATTTTTAATGTAAAAGGAAAAAGTGAATAAAGTGAAAATAATGATGACAGTAATACTTTGAGAATGTATGCCCAAAATCCTAACTATTCTAAGGGCAGGCAACCATGCATGTGTCATTTGTTTAAACTATTAATCCGAGAATATCTCTTTTGCTTGAAAGGGACACACAGCACAGTAGCTTTGAATATGGCTCTTGATAGGATCAATCAGACATAAACCATATTTTAAATCAGTTGCACTTCATTGGCAACATTTTCATGACAATGATGGAAAGATCGATTAGGAAACATTCTTTGCCTTCATGGAGATATGAAATGAGTTGCAAATAAATGGAAATCCTAAAGATGATGGCAAGATATTTTGCAAAACTCTGAGCAATTCAAAAGTTTATTTTCTAAGAATAAATAAAATGACCTCTGATACATATCAACAATGTAATAAAGTCTGGTTTAAATATCTGGTGGGGTGGAGAGGCGCATGTATGCATGTGTGTTGAACGGTAGAACATTTTCTATACAGAAGGTACCAGGAATTTGTGTGCAGAAAATGGAAAAACACTTGTCAGAAATCAGAATAAATAACAGTGCTGAATGGAGAAACGTCTACTTTGGGTTAAAAGCTTCAGTAGGTGACAACCTTTAGCTAATTTTAGATGATCTCATGAAGCTAAGCAGATCCAGCCATGTTAGGATGAGAAACTCAAAAAATTAGAAGGTGAAACTCAAAAAATTAGAATATCGTGCAAAAGTCTATTTATTTCAGTAATGCAACTTAAAAGGTGAAACTAATAGATGAGATAGACTCATTACATGCAAATCAAGATAGTTCAAACCGTGATTTGTCATAATTGTGATGATTATGACTTACAGCTCATGAAAACCCCAAATCCACAATCTCAGAAAATTAGAATATCACATGCAATCAGTAAAACAAGAATTGCACATAGAACAATATCGCACCTCTGAAAAGTCTAAGCATGCATATGTAGTCAGTACTTGGTTTGGGACCCTTTTGCAGCAATTACTGCCTCAATGCGGTGTGCCATGGAAGCTGTCAGCCTGTGGCACTGCTGAGGTGTTATGGAAGACCAGGATACTTCAATAGTGGCCTTCAGCTCTTCTGCATTGTTCGGTCTCATGTCTCTCATCTTTCTCTTGGCAATGCCCCATAGATTCTCTATGGGGTTCAGGTCAGGCGAGTTTGCTGGCCAATCAAGCACAGTAATCCCATGGTCATTGAACCAGATTTTGGTGCTTTTGGCAGTGTGGGCAGGTGCCAAGTCCTGCTGGAAAATGAAGTCAGCATCCCCATAAAGCTCATCTGTGAAAGGACGCATTAAGTGCTCCAAAATCTCCTGGTAGATGGCTGCATTGACCCTGGACTTAATGAAGCACAGTGGACCAACACCAGCAGATGACATGGCTCCCCAAATCAACACAGACTGTGGAAACTTCACACTGGATTTCAAGCATCTTGCAATGTGTGCCTCTCCATTCTTCCTTCAGACTCTGGGTCCTTGGTTTCCAAATGAGATGCAAAAGTTGCTCTCATCAGAAAAAAGGACTTTGGACCACTGAGCAACAGACAGTTCTGTTTTTGTTTAGCCCAGGTAAAATGCTTCTGACGTTTGTTGTTCAGGAGTGGCTTGACAAGAGGAATACGACATTTGAAACCTATGTCCAGGATCCGTCTGTGTATGGTGGCTCTCGATGCACTGACTCCAGCCTCGGTCCATTCTTTGTGAAAGTCCCCAACACTTTTGAATGGCCTTTTCCTGACAATCCGCTCCAGGCTGCGGTCATCCCTGCTGCTTGTGCACCTTTTTCTTCTACACTTTTCCCTTCCACATAACTTTCTATTAATGTGCTTTGATACAGCACTTTGGGAACATCCAACTTCTTTTGCAATTATCTTTTGAGGCTTTCCCTCTTATGGAGGGTGTCAATGATGGTTTTCTGCACAACTGTTAGGTCAGCAGTCTTTCCCATGATTGTGATTCCTACTAAACCAGACTGAGAGACCATTTAAAGGCTCAGGAACCCTTTGCAGGTGTTATGGCTTACTTAGCTGATTAGAGTGGGACACTTTGGGCCTAGAATATTGAACCTTTTCACAATATTCTAATTTTCTGAGATTGTGGATTTGGGATTTTCATGAGCTGTCAGCCATCATCATCACAATTATGACAAATCACAGTTTGAACTATCTTGCTTTGCATGTAATGAGTCTATCTCATCCATTAGTTTCACCTTTTAAGTTGCATTACTGAAATAAATGGACTTTTGCACGATATTCTAATTTTTTGAGTTTCACCTGTATACTAGGAAGTTGAAAAAAAAGTGTTTGAAGGCAATTGCATTCCATTTCCATATTGTCGCCAAGAACATGCTGAAGTTGAATTCAACTTGTTGGAGCCTTTTTGGCTTCATTCAGTGGAGCCTGTAAGTGGTTGCCTTTCTGTGGTCAAAAATCTAAACAGGGAGCCATTCCTTTGTGAAAGATGTATTCCCCCCAAAGAAGAATATGTGTGAAAACTGGGTTCAAAAAAGGAACTAAATATGTGTGCGTGCGTATCTGGGTATGGTGATACTGAAGGTGGGGTGCTTAACCTAAGGCAGTTTAAAATGTAAATATCTGCACTGGGTAATTTTTTTAAAAAAAGAAAAACAATATATGCATTCTATTGATTGAAAAGCCAAAAGATTGATGTTCTTTTTCTTTTTGTTAAGCATACTAGAAAAACATAGCTATCATAAAATGGAAGTTCTTCAGAGTGAATTTTATTTGATGCTATATATCGTGCATTAGGATTTTACCATATAATGTATTAACATTTATCTCCGTGAAATTATCTGCATGTGTACACTAGAAAATAACAAGCATGTTTCCATTCAATGTTTTAAAGGTTAGGGACAGAAGAGAAAAATGATCTGAGAAAACGATGGCTCTAGCTTGATTAAAAATATATTCCTAAAAAGAAAGAGATCTGCGTCCTTCCTCACAAAGAGCATCATTTCTTTACAAGATCTCAGGTCACAGAAGACACTATATTGCATTTAATGAGAGGTGTCACTTTTAGAGCATGGCTGAACACTTGTTCTAAATGGGATGAACTGAACCAATTTCCTTAACTGATAAAAGGCTTCTGGAAATGGAACATTTTCAGCAGCTAAAGCTCCTTTCTATAGAGTTTCTTTGCTTTCCTAAAATCCTACCAATAATAAAAGCTATTGGAACTGTAAGGTTCTTGCACATTTTTCAGTAAAACTCTTATGTTGTATTGTGACCAAAGCTGGTTCCCCTAACCTAATAACATCACTTTAAAGAAATGACATAATTTTATAGCATGCAATCAGTAATACAGGTAATCCTTGACATGACTACAATTGAACCCAAAATTTCTGTTCTTAAGTGAGACATTTGTTAAGTGAGTTTTGCCTCATTTTATGACAGAGTGAATCACTGCAGTTGATAAGTTAGTAATCTGGTTGTTAAGTAAATCTGGCTTCCCCATTGGCTTTGCTTGTCAGAAGGTCACAAAAAGTGATCACATGACCTTAGGACACAGTAACTGTCATTAATATGAACCAGTTGCCAAGCATCAGAATTTGGATCACATGATCATACAGAAGCTTGCAAAGGTTGTAACTGAAAAACCGCCCTAAGTCACTTTTTTCAGTGCCCCTATAACTTTGAACAGTTCACTGTATGAACTGTTGTAAGCCAAGGATTACTTGTACATTACACAGAATACTGTATACTGGGATCCCACAAAGCTTTGCATTTTGCTGAACAGCCATAAGGAAATATAGAACCTGAGTTTATACACCTTGGACTCACTACATTGCAAAGACAAGACACTGAAAAAGGAAGACATGGTGGAAATTACAGTGTGATTACTGTTTTAGGTAAACCTGTTCATGAGATATCATTTATTCCTTCCTACTAGGTCAGTATACTAGTCATATGTCTCTGAGATATAGTCAGTGAATAAAAAAAATCTGGTTTACTGGGCCACAGCTTCCAGACTAAATCTTCTCCATATTGCTCTTCAAGGTCAATTCGGTTTGCTGTGAATGTTTTTCTACAGGGGTATTTTACAGTTCATGTGTATTGGGGGAGGAGAAGCATCTCATTGATTTGGTAGTGGACACAGGTCACCTCTGATTGGGGAGATACTGTACCTTTTATCATCTCAGGTGACCTTCTACAAATATTGTAAGGCACACTCTTAAGAAAGACTTTCTTTCATTTAAAGGCATTCTCATAAACCTATCTGACCAAACACAATTGCTTCCCGAAGATTTTGTATCCATTTTTTCTGTTGTACCAATGTTTTCTTTTTTGCATTCATCGTTTATTCTTGTTATAAAATCTTTAAATCTAAGAGACAAACCAAATGGATTTATCTCCACCCGTTGGAACAGATCCCAAATGTTACTAATCCATTATCCACATTAGGCAAAGAGCACTATAAACTGTGATTTTTTTAAAAAAAAAATCATATAGTTAATTGCATCATAACATATCTACCAAAGGGAAAGAAGTAGGAAAGGATTTTTTACCTGATCTTTTACAGTTTCAACATCTGTCTTCCACAATGTATTTTTTGCAATATAAGCAATATGTATGAATTCATGGGAAAAAAGAAATAAATGCCCTGAAAGCAAGACTAATAGACCATCCGTGCAGTCTGTCAGCTTAAAGGTTACGAAAATTGTATGAAATCGGGCTACTACTGAAATGGAAATTATAAGGATAAGAAGTGACAATTTATTAGACTCTTAAAACTATTCTGAGTTTCTGCCCGATAAATCACCATGAATTCTATGTTATCTATATATTAGTAAAACTTTTGTGTCTATAACCTTTAACTGGGTGAAATGGTGCATCATAGACTAAAACTTTTTGAACTGAGGCATTTTCAGTGGTCTAATTTATAGCATGTGCTCCAATCCAGGACCCATAACTCCCATGGAATTGGAATTAGGGAAATGTTATAAAACATTTCATGACAAAAATGATCATAAAGCATTTTATGACATAATACAAAATATCATAAAACATTTTCTGTGGTCAATTCCTAATTTTTGATTGTGTTGTACAGTTCATCATGGGCTAGTTTGAAGGCAGATCCATCTCTTAATGTCTCATGAATTTTAAAGAATTTTTCAACTTCATTAGAAGCTATGACACTGTTGAAGGCATTGAGGAATGTGAGAATAAAATATCTCTGAAACGATGACCCAAGCATCATGGATTGTTTAGCTGAATATAAGTGTAGGATTTCATTCACTCCTCATAATGCTGGGCTCTTATGGATTTCATTCAGAATACTGAATACTTCAGCTGGATATATCACATATATTTTACATATGTAAACGTTCTTATCATTTCTATTAGTCTGGATCAGAGGTGGTATTCAGCCAGTTCTGACAGGTTCTGGAGAACCGGTAGTGGAAATTTTGAGCAGTTCGAAGAACTGGTAATACCACCACTGGTTGGCCCCAGTTCTCTGCCTCCCGACTCCCAGCTGATCAGAGTCCCAGCTGAACAGTTGGGACTTCTTTTGTTGCCCAGCACAGGAGAAGAAAAAGCAGGTTAGTGGGGTGGGGAGGGAATGGGGATTTTTGCAGTATCCTTCTCCTGCCATGCCCATCAAGCCACACCTGCCAAGCCATGCCATGCCCACCAAGACACATCCACGGAACCAGTAGTAATTTTTTTGAATACTTTCACTGGTATTGCTGTAATGTTCTGTAACATATCCAAAAAGCCTTATCTGAAGATTTGAGGCATATTTGCCTGAAAACATCTGTGCTCAAATTTGCTCCCAACCAGAAAATTAAACTAGTTCTTTTTCAAGGCACATTTGTACTATAAATTATTTCCTTCCAGTTTGGTACAGTGGTTAAAGCACCAGGAGGCTAGAAACCAGGAGACTATGAGTTCAAATATAGCCTTAGACACAATACCAACTTGTGACTTTGGGCCAATCACTTTCCCTCAGCCCTAAGAAGCAAGCAATGGCAAACAACTTTAGGAGTCAAAACTGACCCAGAGGCACTCAAGCATGCAAATACAAGATAGGTCACAGAATAAAAGGAAAAAAAAGATTAAGTATAATGTCTGCATCACGCAATGCATATCAACACAATTTTTAAAGGTAGATTAAAGCGCAGTGAAGTTTGGCCATGGGTATTTTTCTCAGCAGCAGGAGGGATGGCTTAATAACTGACATCATTTGAAAATAAATATTAGTTTGCCTACTTGGCCACCAGAGGCAAGGGACAAGGGCAAGGTTGGCAGAAGCTGGGTGCTCCTCTGGTCACATCACCCAGGTAGCCTTCTGGACATCGGTCACAGTGGTCTCCAGTTGTGTTTCTTTGGCAGTCCTGTCATATAAGAAAGAGAGAGAAGGAACACAAACATGTAAGAATTACTTATTCAGACGACCCAGAAATTATTGACATGAACACTCCTGGCAATCAGTGTGAAAAACCTTGGTGTTGATATGGCGATCTGGGGTTTATTGATGGATAAAAATAAGATTTTTGAATTGCATTTGAACTTTTGAAGCTGAACATGTCAGGTTTGCTAACAAAGCACTAACCAAATAGTTTGCAAGATATAATTTTGGAAGCCATATTTCTGAGCCTGTTTAGAGCTGCTTGGTGCAGTTTGTTCTTGTTCTAAACCATTCCACCACCAGCCCAATCATCAATGCTCACAGTGAGATCTATATTAAAAAAATCATTTCTTGATGCCTGCTTGGAATTAGTTTACAAGCTGGCAAACCTGTAATTATCAATTCATTTCCAAGAGCATCCATACGGGTATAAGGAATGGTTCCAATTCTTAAAAGTTAGTAATTGAAGAAAGCCACAGACAGGTATGGGATCCGACCGGTATAACTACCGGTTCTGTTGCTCTGCATTGTGCGTGCATGCGCAAGTCGCATGAGTGCAATTTCCAACCTGCTGAGCTGCCTGGACAGCTTAGCAGCACTGTGTGCAGGTGTGCAATGGTTAGGAAAGCTCTTTTTTCTTGCTTTTTCAACCGTGGCTGTGCTGCGCAAAGCAGCTGCAGTTGAAAAAGCAGGAAATAAAGGACAGGTAAGAGCCCGGGTGGGCAGGTGGATCAAAACAGCAGCAGACACAGAACCGGTTCTGTGTCTGCTGCTCTTCAGAGCTACCGGTTCTACAGAGCCAGACAGAACCGGTAGAATCACACCCCTGGCCACAGATTAGATCCGGGGAAAAATATTGCTTCCACTTCACTTTATTCAGCATTCCGAGACTTGGGTTCTCTGACATACTGATGTATGACAGGTTACTTCAGAAAAAATGGCTACAGAGAAATAGAACAAAAGAAAAGCTGCAATCTCCCATATTTCAATCCATTCAAGAAGATGGTTTCATTTAGTTCTGTTGTAAAAATGATTTCTTTGTGGCTTCTGCGGGGTTTTTGTTTGTCATATTTCATTCTTGTTTGTTGAAATGCAAAATACCCTTTTCTTATCTTTTTGTCAACATATAGAAAGAAATATTTTTTTTAAGCGCACAGAAAGGAGTGCAGTTTTAAAATGTCGGCTTCTGGGCAAAGATTGCCTATAGATGATCTTTGAACCTAACTGTGTGAGGACCATTTTTGCCCCATAGCTTTTCTTTTAGAAATTTCCCTTTCTTCCAATTTTGGGAATTTGATGTAATGACAATTTACAAGAAAAAAATATGAAAATATACTGAGCATTTCAAAATAGCAGTTTGTTCTGAATGCAGAGATGGCTGATTTCTCCAATCTATGCAACATTTGCCAAAGAAACAAAAGATGTATTTGTTTTATGGTATTTCTATGCGGCTATCTTCCAAAATGGCATCAAAAATGCAAGAGAAATATTAGGGATTGTACATTATATCCTATTTTGAGTATAAAATCAAAATTGTTTGAGAGCAATTTCAAGTCATTTTGACTGTTCCATTTTTGAAAAAAGAAATTCACTTGTGCATGAAGGATTTCTTAGAAGATTGGAACAAACAGCTAGTCTGATTAATGCTAATTTGAATGTTTGATCCTGATTTGAATGGTGATACAAGTATTTTTCCTGAATCTTGAAAAGATATATTTTACTCCTGCTTGGGCCAGTAAAGAACTAGACATGTCCCTGCTGCCATTAGTTTAGAATTGGACGTCTCTCTGTGGGCATCTACACGAAGATAATAGAAAATCTGAGGCATTTAAGCAGGCATGGTTTATTTTCTTTAAGGCTGGTTGTATCACACTCCAGCACAGTCTTTATCTGCAATATGTATATAAAAAGTGTTACTGTATTTCTGAATAACAAATAAGGCTGAATAAAGTCTATACAGCTTATGTTACACAATTCTTAATTCCTCTGTTTCCAATTTGCAGACTTTTTGAAGCACGAGTGGTTGGCAAGGGTCTGGTGCCCACTCCTTATGTGACCAGTGAATATCAACTCAGACATTTTTTTTAATAGGGACTGTGAAGGTTAAGGTTATGATCAGGTTCACTGCTAAGCACTGCTTAAAGATGCAGAGGAAATGAAGCTGTACACTTTTTTACAGAGGCCATAAAAACGATTAAAACAAAACCTACCAAAGGATAAGTTGACTTAAACAGTTGCCTTATTCCTTATAGGTCTTTCTAAATTCATGAGAATGGTGGTTAAAATCCTGGGAGAATGTTTATATTTCCCCTTTTCCTCCTCCTAAAAGCAGTAGCTGGACTTTTTCCCTGAAAAAATTAAGCTCACTGTGCAGAATAAGAGTTTGCCCATCTGGAAAGGGAAGTGATGGTCATAGTTGCCTAGCAAATGGCAAAATTTCCCAAATTTGTCAAATTATGATTTAGTTAAACAATGCCCTTGAATTTTTCATAAGTGCTGAAATTGCTGAAGTTATAACTCAATGAACTGAACTAACTAAACTTTTCACAAAACTAACTAAACCTTTCCCAAATTTGCTAGCCTGTCAGAATACCTGATCCGGATCCTCAAGATATATCACTTAGCTGCCAAAATCAACTCAATTTTGTTCAAATGCGGAATACTACTAGAGATAACCCAGAGCTTCAGGGATACATAATTTTTTATTCCTAATTTTGATCCCTAAAATAGCTACCTTTGACTTTAGGAGTAATCAAATGTAATTGAATGTTTAGAGTGCAAGAGATGAATATACAGTTCACACTTACGATGTTGTTATCCAATTGGGTAATGAAACTCTGCAAGCAAACAAACAACGACAGAATGCTCTAAGGACTCCACAGTTCAAACTTAATGTGGAAAGCCTTCTTAACATAATTAATAAACTTTTACATTCTTTTTGTTCTTTTGTTTTTAGTTTGGATTAAATTAGTATTTTTTTTTTGATGTACCTATGTATGATAGAATAAATTATAGCTTAAAGTATGTTGGAATGCATGTTGCTTCTTCAGTTAAGGTACAAAATAAGACTATTGCAGAAGAGTATTCCAGAGTCAGCAGAGAGAGGAAAGGTGATAAGGTGATTTAGAGCAATTCCACCTTAGGTACACTATCACTAAGTTAGTGTTCAGTAGGCTTTCAAGATTCTGTTATATTATCCTACTATCAATGAATCTAATTCCAAACATGCAAGTGCTTCTTGATTCCTATACCTGCCAGCCTCACTGGCAAGAGTCTTCAAACTTGGCAAGTTTAAGACTTGTGGACTTCAACTCCCAGAATTCCTGAGCTAACATGACTAGAGGAGGAATTCTGAGAGTTGAAGTCCACAAGCCTTCAAAGCTGTTGAGTTTGAAGACCCCTGCCCACAGGGTGCTAGATGTAAGGCTGCTTAATGGCATACACAATTATTCAGAATTTTTTTGAACATGAAGTTATCCCTAATCTTTTTGTTAGCATTTTGGTTATTTTTTTTTATAAATAAATTTTATTAATGTTACAATTAAAACAAACCAATAACACATTCATAAATGAAAGAGAGAAAAAGAAGAAAGAAAGAAGAAAATAGAAAGAGAAAAATAGAAAACAATTAAGAACATTCTCATCTTCAACAGTTTGTAAGACCTCATTTTTATCCTTATTTTATGCCATATACACACACCTAATCCTTACATATATCTATATATCACTACTATGGATCTATCCTATCCTCTTTTGCCTTTTAGTGTGAAGTCTATCTTTGGTCTATCTACATGAAGCAAACTGACGCCCACCATGAAGAGGCGGCACGACCACGAACGCAAAGCCAAACAGCAGGATCACAGCTCACCAGCTCAAATCCCCCAGCAACTAAGACTAACCTGAGCACAACCAAGCCCCCACCTGAACAGAACATGCCTCCAGACAATCAGAACACGGCCAACACCCCAACCAATCAGAACACAGCCAAACCCCCTACCAATGAGAACACACCCCCACCCAATCAGAACACAGCCAAGCCCCCACCCAATCAAGTCACACCCCCACTAGCAGTTAAAAGGAAGAAGCAGCTGCAAGCTCACATCACTCTGAGAAGCACAGAGCCGAAGACACAAGCCTGAAGATGATGAATGAGACTTCATCGAAACGTTGCCTAGATACTTCCAATCTTACGTGGGAGAAAACCCGAATAACCAAAGATCCACATACTAATACCCATGAGAACCTCAGAAAACACACACACACACACACACACACACACACATATCTCCAAATCCAACTATATTTAAATATTATAAATAAATATGTATATTTATCTAACCTTATTTTAAATATTCTTAAACACACAGTATTACATTCGTCCCCAAGTGGATTAATTGTGATCACACAATAAATTATAATATTAATACTTAAAATCCTATAATTATTAATTAAATAATACTTAATGTTCTTAATATTTATCTGATCAAAGTATAACTATCACTATTATTAATAAATCAATTAAATTGGTTAATTCAATTATTTAACAATCAATTACAACAATCAATTTTCTTTTCCCCAATATACGTATTTATAATCATTACAAAGAGAGAATAAAGAAGGAGAGATAGTTCATCATAGTGCCGGGTGGTGAGGGAAAAAGAAGAAAAAAAATATTGAGCAAATGTATACAGAAAAAAGGGAGTAAAAAAAGGGGTAAAAGGAATTTTGAAGTAAGTTTTTAGCTTTCCGTCTCTAAGTTTGAGAGCTTTCACTCCAAATGCACCAGAAGTGGGGAGGTAAAAAATGCTGAGTAGTGACTGCAATTACACTGTATCTCCACACATTCAGAAGCTTCCACTATTACTTTTTGTCTTAGCGTTCCTAAGTTCAATTTTCCTGATTTTCTTCAGATGGAACCACCTCCTCAATTAGATCAGTATGCTCCCTAAAGGGCTGTTAAATGGTTTATATCAGTTATATTGTTACAATAGCTTCAGGGTTTCTAAGTATCACCTGTGGCGCCACACTGTCTCTGTTCCGTCAGCTACGATCTTCTTCCTGTCTCCGCTTTAATAAAGTCTTTCAGAATAAAAATCAAATGAGATGGTCCAAATCCTCCACTACTTCCAGGCACCTTCCAGCCTCTAGTCTTCCAACCTCGTAAACTTCCCCCTTTACTCATTATTGTCCTCTCTCTCTCTTCTGTCTGCCGAGCCCTTTCACTTTCACTTGCCTCGCATCTGCTTTTTGGCTGCTTTCTTTTAGGGCTCCAGACAGACATTTGTAACAGCCTTATAAAAGTCTATAGCATTCCAATCATCCTCTCCGCCACTAATTTTCTCTGCCACACTCTTCCCTAATGATCTCACAAACTATCACTCACTCGCTTCTTTACATTGGTGGCAGTCCGGACTTCAGAAGCACCATTGATAGGGGGCTGTTTTTTGCTCACTGGGCTCTGGAGGGCTCCTCTTCGCTGCAGGGGGGTTGCTTTCCCCACACTGCAACCCGAATCTCCCACACACCGGCACGAATCTCTCCGGGACTCGGGCACCCTCAAAGGATCGCGCCAACCGCAAAAAGAGATTAACTGAAACCACAGACAGGCTTCTGCACCTCTGTTTGCCCTTACCTTGCCACCGGAAGTCCCAGCATTTTGGTTATTTTCTTTGAAGTGGTTTGACAGGACAACTTTTGTTGTTTAAACTGGTGTGTTCTTGCTTCAGTTTTCTTTCTGTCTACATGTTTGCTCAAGTTTAGTTGACTGAATTCAAAGCTTATTCTTGTGTTAGTATATTTAGGATTGCATTGAATAAAATGTAGTTTTCTCCACTAAGTGAGTAGAGAATTTAAATATTTAGAACCTTAGTGGATGACATAAATACTGCAAACAAATAAACTCTGTGTAGCTCTTTCTTATACATGCAAGCTCCACTGAATGGTATAGGGATCACTCCCAGGTAAGTGCATATGGGATTGGAGCTTCAGATGTGTAAAAACACTAGATAATGAAATTATTATATTCTTATTTGGCTCTCTTATTAGTTGCTTTGAAAATTTAGTTTAAGCTGTGGAGACATTTTGTCCAACACAAAAATTCTGGAGTACAATCCATGGTGCCTGCAGCAAAATGTGATGGGCCCAAATGAAACTTGTAGAGATGATCATCACACAAATGATATCATTGCATATTGGGTACAGACATCTGACTTACATATAGAGGATGTGCAATAAGTCATGCATGGTAGCTTGTGGTCTTCAAAGGGCAATCATTCATATGTGAGCCAGCATTTGACAAAACAAAGCCAAGGACAACTTCCTAGCCAATCAGAATCGTTGGGTAGTGAGATGGGCAGCATAACAATTCAACAAGCAAATGAAATCTCTTTAAAAAAAAAACCCTAAAAGTCAGAAAAGCAAGCTTACAAAATCAGAGAATACCTGACAGGAATCATTAGAACCACCACTTATGAAGGCAAAGGCATTTGTAGACATTGTAAAGCAGGAAAGATTACCTACCACACAAACGCCAGATCCATCAAGACACTTGTAGGCATTGTTATTGCAGTGGCAGGGCTTGCAGTTGCCCGAAATGGTGCGATAAAATCCTTCTTGACATTTCTGCAAGAAAAATCCAAGGGGGAAAAACATGTAATTGGCTACATTTTCCAAGGTTAATTTAATTTTTTTACAACCTATATATTGCCTAGCTAGCATGTAACTATAACTCATGATAAAAAAAAAATCCCTGCAATTTTAAAAATAAGAATAAGATCAATAAAAACAAATGCCGTTACTATAGCTCAGATTTTGTTGCTCTGATATGTTTCTTAGCTCTGGCATTTTCAATGTATCAGCCGCAAACCTAGCAACAAGGCCATAGCAAATTTTTATTATTGGACATTTTAGACCACAAACTTTCAAAATGACCTTGTCTAAAGCCTGATAATACAGTTCTTCCAAATCCATATATCTAAATAAGACACATGCAGAAAAGGTGATAAGTCAGGGATAAAGAGCTAATCTAAATATTGGTTGTGTACAACCATTAAGGCACACATTTATGAAGGCAATTTTAGTAGATTGGCAGTAAGATATCACAGATGGGACCAATCTGCCACTACTTTTCAAATTCCTGTTTTCAGTGGTTATAAAGGGAGGCAATCTTTTATGCAATGGCCAATAAAACAGATGAAATAAGCTTTTTAGAGTAGGATAATAGGCACTTATTCAGGGGTGGGATTCAAAAATTTTAACAACTGGTTCTATGGGCATGGCTTAGGTGGTGGGTGTGGCTGGGTGGTCATGTTATTAGCTAGGTGTGGCCAACTCAACATCACTCACATCGAGGCACTCATCTCCTCGCCTAGCTTCTCATGACTGTGGGAATGCTGCAACAGTTGTAAGTGTGAAAAATGGTCATAAGTCACTTTTTTCGGTGCCATTGTAACTTTGAATGGTCACTCCACACAAGCAAAGTACCAGCAAAGGCGGGGAAAAAAAACTCCAGAGACTTTCCTGAGACAGGAAGTCTAGTCCTGCCAAGAATGTAATAAGGGTTAATGGAGAGGCAGTTTCTGTAAGCAACACCAGAATGTTTCCTTCCTGCCCTCCTTACAGGATTAGGCCAATAATTTCTTCTAACAACGGGTTCTCCGAACTGCTTAGAATGTTAACAACCGGTTCTAGCGAATAGGTGCGAACTGGTAGAATCCCACCTCTGCACTTATTTCAATGTCAGCCTTCATTTTGATGACTCTTTGGACACTAAGAACTGAGGTTTTGATTCTTCATGCAGCAAGTGAATTCAGAAGAACACTGTGAAGTTTATATCAGTATAAAGGACATAAGTACACTCCCAAATTTTGTTTGCCCTCATTTATCCTCCAGTTCTGTAAGTATTTGAGTACAGCTGATACTATGTTCCACTCCCTTCTCCCTTCTTGGGGAACACAGTATTTGTTAAGTTTGAGCAATGAGAGGCTGAACCAGAGCATGAGTGCAACAATACTTTATTATAACAATAAAGGGCTGACCGTGCTTGCCACGCCTGGAACTGGCTCGCAGCAATCAGCAACTGGTTGGACCCCGCAGCCTGCTTTTATAGCTGGCTGCTGGGGAGAACCAACCAATGAGGAAAGGGGGAAGAACGCCCACACAAGTGAGTGGACCTGAGTGAGAACTCCTAGAGTTCTCAGGACATAACAGTATTGTTGTTCCATTTATTGCCTCTAATATTATCAGGATATTTAGCTAATCGTGTGATTTAAGAGGTTTAATATTTCTTGATCCAAAAGACTTATGAAAGTATGGGGACTAATCAAACTGGCAAGCTACTCTCTTTTCTTCCATGAGCAACAGCAACAGACTTGCCTTGCCCACTGGCATATAATTCAACTTTTTTTGAAAAAGTAGGTGGGCTGAAATAATCCTTACTTCAACTCTTTCTTTAGCATTAACATTCTTATTTGCTATGAGGATCAGTTCAAACCCAGGGGAAAATTATTTTCCCAACCCAAAGAAGAAAAGACCAGTCATTTGCTAAGCATGATTAAGTCTTGAAATTATTTTGACACCTGCATTTTGTTTTTTGTGAGATTTTTTTTAAGGCAAAGGCATATGTAACTCCAGAATAGCTAAGTTATGAATGTTGCCTTCCTTTACAAATAATGAAGTGCCTTATGCAGACAATAAGTACAATTTATTCCTCTTCCCTTTTAGCTTATCTTACATCAGGCATTGTTATATTTTCTGAAGCTGAGAAATAAAAGATAAGCATCCAGTCTATAAAATGAAAGGAAATGTCATAGTCAAAGCAGAAATAAAATGACCTCAAATTAAGCTGGAAATGGCTGAATTGGAAAGTACTTTGTATATTAAATGGTGCAGTGTGCTTAAAATATTGTACTGTGTTGCACAAGCACACTGTTGTATAGCCTAATTTTGTATTATGAAGATGAGAACATGTATGAAGCCATACTTTCCTATTAATGGAATTATGTTAATTTAACCAGCTTGTTGACTTCTTTTGTTTATGAATATTATTTTATCAGTCCAACTGATAAAAGTGCATTATTTTTTTTTCCATTACAAAATTAAATATGTATCAACTTTTCTCATGAAGCTCCAGAAAAAAATTCATTTTGAGGAATGCAATATCTTACCCTGCTATTTGGGAATCCTGAAAATTAAAATTGTAATCTGTCTTTTGGGTATCAATTTGATAAGGTTGCTGCCTAGATTATGGCTTGCTATTGACAAACTCAAACTGGATTTACTTATTGTGTAGGCTGAAAATGTGTTGTGTAAATGAATTTGTTGGTTTATAAAAAGTTTCAGCGTTGGGGAGCCAAATTAAAACCAATATTCTGATGGAAACTCAACAGGTATTGTTGAATTTGCCAACCAAACTTACAGAGTTGTTTTCATAAAATGAAAAGATATACTCACTCGAATCTTTTTGAGCTCTTGAAGGAGGGGGACTATAAATCAAATAAACAAATCACGGTTTGTAGTTTTTAATGGATTATAGGAACTCATTTACCATAAATAATAAAATGCAAACCTGGTCTACCATAAAAGTTTTTCTGTGCTGATACTTTATTTGCAGCCATTTTCTTGCACTGGGTTTAGGATCGTTAATAATGGAGCATGTTCAGAAAAAGATAGCAAACATCTGCTTTCTATTTTGTTGGAAGAGGATGATTATGAAAAGAAAATCTCCTTGCTCTGCAAATCTACTTTTATGGTAATAGTCCTGACTTCTTACATACTCTTTCTTTGGTTCTATCAAACAAAATCAAAAGCTAAGTGTGTTTCCTCCTTAAAGGCAGTTCAAAAGTTCCTTACTGTTCTGTAAAAAAAACAAGCCCTTTGAACTTTGATTTAGTTACACACTGCATTCTGCAGTATGGTAAGAGAGAAAAATGTGTAGTTTATTTTGTGTTAATTGTTTCTATTTGAAGTTTTCCTCACATTATTTCTGCCTCACAGTAAAACAGCAGATAGATAAAAATCTTTGGGGTGACTTCAGTGCCATTAGCAGATCAATTAGCAGATCAAAAATCTGCTCAAATGGAGCTCAAATGGAAGAAGATTGTGCTTTTTCAAGGAGCTTTTATTAAAAATATATTCATGATTAGAGGCATGCAGATATACGATCATTTGATTCATGTTTCTGGTTTGAACTGGAGCTGCAGAAGCAAAAATGCCAAATGTCAAATAATTTCAAATAATAGCAAGAAGCTTTTAAAAACATGAAGTTGTGTTTTTTTTAAAGGGACATTATTATTATTTCTTCGGTGACAGAATAAACTGTAATTTTCAAGAGCAATCATTTGTTTTGTGGCAAATATCCTTGCCCAATTTTAGAATGATATTGAGAGACTTGTACAAAGGAAGGGAGGTTTCAAATATGGATAGTTCTCGACTTACAACAGTTCATTTAGTGACCATTCAGAGTTACTATCTGTACCCATCCCTAAATGAGGTGGAGCTGATTCTTTTTTTAAATTTGATTTTCTATTAATTACATCTCTTAACACAGTTGTTAAGGGAATCTGTCTTCTCCATTGAACTTGCTTGTCAGAAGGTCACAAAAGGTGATTATATGACTAGGGGATATTGCAACCGTTAGTTGCCAAGCATCTGAATTTTGGTCATGTGACCATGGGGAATTGTGACAACTGTTGTAAGTGTGAAAAACAGTCCTAAGTCACTTTTTTCAGTCACTAAATGAACTATTGTAAGTCGAGGACTACCTGTACTCAAATGGAAATGGGTATGGTCTTCCAAAATAGGTTTAACCCAAAGCAATCAAGGGCAGGTGTCAGCTGGTGCTCTATTCAAAATCCAAGAAATAAATACTTAGACTCCTTTAATCAGAGAAAAGATATCTTTTACTGGAAATCAAGTGGTAGCAACAAAAGAATTCTGAATCTGAGAAAATGGTAAATCACATATACAAAGTAATGGCAACGTTCCCACCCCAATAGTTCAATTGGCTCATCCAATTAAAAGTTGTGTATATCATCATGTGGGCATCTCCAGGTGGTGATGAGGCTTCTGTCCGTTGACCTTGACATAGTTTGATAAAGGGTGGCAGCTTAGGATAGAAACCTAAGCAAGAATGCCCCCCCCCCCCAGTTTATACAGTTCTGGTTTGTAACACCTCCAGCTCACTTCCCATAATCATTCCCCCCTCCTCCCCCCGTTACTTATGACAGCCGAAAGATACAAAGCAATGGGAGAAAATCTTGAAGGCTGACATTCAGCCCTCCTAGAAAAGAGACGTTAGTCCTAAAAAAGGTAAAAATAGAAGGTAATAGAAACTATACATGTAACAGTAACATACTAATTTTTTAGGGTTTATCAGGATATTTAGTACGAAATGCCTTGATAAATGTAGGAGCTCTAACATCCTTCTCATTCACCCACTCAGCCTGGGAAGGATGAAAATGTTTTCAAGCAACCAAATACTGGAGTCGACCCCTTCGTTTTCGAGAATCCAAAATTTCTTTAACTTCAAAATGTTATTCACCTTCAATTAGCAATGGTACAGGGGGATCAACTTGAGTTGGTCTCAAGTCGGAGGTATGTTCAGGTTTTAATAAACTAACGTG